GTGGGCTTTCTCGCAATCCATAAAGAGCTTTTTGTAGTTTGCACACTTTATTATTCTCTGTACAATATCCATCAGGTGGGTAAATATAAACTTCAGACTTAATACTCCCATTCAAGAATGCTGTCTCAACGTCCATTTGTTCAATGTTCCATCCTCTTACACATGCAATTGATAATAAAGCTTTCATTGTCGTCATTCGCGCTACTGGTGAATAAATTTCCTCGTTTTCTTCATACATCTGTTGGAAACCTCGTGCGACTACTCTTGCCTTATACTTTCCATTCGACTTGATCCTAAAGATCCATTTAACATCTATTATTTTCTTATTTTCAGGTCTCTCAACTAAAATCCACGTTTCGTTCTTTTCCAAACTGTTCAATTCCTCTTTCATTGCATCTTTCCATTTATTTACATCCGGACTTTTTATTGCTTCATCATACGTATCTGGTACCAGTGTATCACTAAAATTTATATATACAACATGATCTTTATATTTCTCTGGCATTTTTCTATCTCTTTTTGGTCGGATATCCGTCACCTCCTCAGTCACAGCTCTACTTGATTTTTCCTTTGAGTCATCAACACTATCATAAAATTCTTCGTTTTCATCAGTTTCATCTTCAGTATTTACTATCTTTATTATCTGTTCTTCTTTCGTATCTATAAATGTAACGTGACGACTAATGACTATTTTTTCATTTATTAATACTCTGTATCCCGTATCTGTGTATCCTACTAATATACCTTTTGTAGCCTTTGGGTTAAGTTTTGATGTGCGTAATTCGTCTGGAATTCGTACATAACACTGTGATCCGAAAATTTTTAAATTACTTACATTTGGCTTCCTCCCCATAAAAATTTCGTACGGTGTTTTTTTCTCATACGTATTTGTTAATATTCTATTACCTAGATATGCTGCAGTCATAACGCATTCAGGCCAATATTTCTTATTTATCTTTGCTTCTGTAAGCAGACACCTCGCTCTCTCCATTATGGTTCGGTTAAATCTTTCAGCTACACCGTTCAACTCGTGTGTATAAGCTGGCCCTGGTTTTAAATAAATACCTTTTTGCTTTGTGTAAGTGTAGAAATCGTTGTTAATATATTCTCCGCCATTGTCACATCTGATTTCTTTCACTCTCTTACCTGTTTGATTTTCCACCATATTTACATAATCTCTAAAACAATTAAAAACATCACTCTTGTTATTAATTAAGCATAGATAAGCTAACCTACTATAGTCATCTATGAATGACACAAAGTATCGTTGCCCCTTATATCCAGTGGGCGTAATCGGGCCTGCCACATCCGTGTGGATAATCTCTAACAAGTCTGTTGCCCGTCGTCTTTGATTTCCAAAAGGTAGATTTGTCATTTTGTTCATCAAACAAACTTCACATTGCACGTAACCCTCGCCTAAAGTGATAGGTAACCCATCTACAACCCTATGCCTGCACATTTCATTTAGTTTCTTAAAGTTAGGGTGCCCAAGTATTCTATGCCATTTTTCTTTTTCTGACATAATGTTACCACTTGTGTATGCTACTGTACCTGCGCCTAAATTAACTCTGCCATCTAATTCGTACAATTTATTTTTCTTGCGTGCGACGGCCATTAAACCTATATGTACATTATATATATTTGCTATTTCTCCTCTAAATTGAATTGTATTATTTCTATTTACAATGCATGAAACGCTTAATAAGTTCTTTTTCATATTTGGAACATAATATACATTTGAAACATCAATTTTATTTGACTTACCTCCTGCTTTACAGTACATTGTTACATTTCCCATTTTCTCCGACTTAAGACAAAATCCATCACCTACCTTAATATTCACAGGTGTTTCTAAAATTTTATAATCACGAAAGAATTTATCGTCATTTACGATGTGATCGCTACATCCGCTGTCCAATAACCATGTTATATCCGCTTTCGTTTCGGTAGCTCCTGTCATCGCTTCTACTTCTACGTTGAATCCAAATCCATCACTGGTGCTGCTACTTTGTCCTGTATTCACGCTTCTATTGTTGTATCCTCCTCTATATCCTCTGTGAGTTCCTCGTCGTCCGCCTCCATATCCGCGTCCTCTACCACGACCATGACCACGACGTGCTAACTTAGGACAATCCCTCCTGTAGTGTCCTAGGCGGTTGCATTCAAAGCAGTTATCATTATTCCTGGACCCATCTTGGTGTTGATTTGATCGAGAACTGAACGTATGAACTTCTTGTTCGTTCTGTTTTCTTTTCATTTCAAGTAGTAATTTGGACTTCACGTACTCCACTGTCCGATCCTTTGTCGGCATCGCATCAACAATATTTACAATATGTGCAAAACTCTCAGGTAATGCAAGCAATAAATAGTTCAGTCTATCCTCTTCCGACACGACTTCTCCAGCATTTTTCAATTCATTGATTTGTTTTTCAAATGTTTGTATGAATTCTAGTATATCGTCGCCATCTTTGAATTTTGTTTCTAGTAATTTCCTTTTAATTAATAATTTATTAGCACTGCCTTTTACTAAATACATCTCGTCCAATTTTTTAATCATTTGGTAAGCCGTACTTTCATTCATTATTATATCGAGCTGAGTATTATTTACGCTATTCACTATAATATTTCTTGCCTTTAAATCAATTTTTCTCCATTCTGTGTCTGTCATACCTTCATGTTTTATATCATTTTCCACAGCTTCTTGGCATTCCTTCATTTGTAACAACAACTTTAATCTAAATTTCCATTTTTCGTAATTTGCACCATCAAATATCTGAATGCCTACTTCTCCTATCTTTACTTCCATTTTCGGTACCTTACTTCTTCAATTGTTTCGGTACTGACCTTGTCAAATAATTTCCACTTATCTTCCTCTTTCTATTTATTTTATTCAACAACGCTCCTTTGCTACCATGTTGAGGAAGTGGATCGTAGAAAGGAAAGACAATCAGCTCGTAATATTTAGTTTATGTAGTCCCAATCACATTACATTTTTATAGGTATACACCGTTGACGTATTTGCAAAAGTCCTAGAATGAAGTAACGGTGACATAGAGAACAGGCCATCGGGTCGCCCTAACAAGAAGGTTTTACATAAAATCATATCTTCAACAAAAACTTATTTTTAAAAAATATCGACCGTCGATATTCATATTTCAATATCGAAGTATCGATATATCGCCCAAAATAATATTAGTAATAAATATCGATATTTCTAAAAAATAATATCGATATTTCGATATATCGATATTTTATCAAGTCCTATTTTAGTCTATAGATTGTCTATGCTATGATGTCAACTGTAGTAAACAAAAACTCGTAAGCACTTAGAAAATAACTTATCTGAGTTTATAATAAAAAGAACACGATTTCTATTATATACCACGTAAAATAAAGTAATTATCATTATTGTATTGTACGAGAATATAAAAACACATCCTTGAAGACTCCAGGAATGTTGTGGATTAAAGTGCCGAGAGAAATCAACCTACGCAACTTTATTACACTTATTCATATGTTGTATCAGTTTTATGTTTATTACTACATTGGTGCCAATTCTGGCGTGATTCTCTAAACTTAAATCTAAATTTAACATCAGTCTCTCCTTTTCATGCTGTATAGAGAATAACAAGGATACACTGTTGTCAAATTTAAGTTTAGGTTTAGAGAATCATGTCAGAATTGATACCATTGTAATACTAAATGCACTGTACTGACATAGATGCCTTGTCGTTTCTCTGCTCCGCAGAGCAGAAATCGGGGTTTAGTGCAAAAAATTCACCAATCATTAATGCGTCAATTCTTGGCAGATTTGTGCTTTCAGCTTTCACAAAGCCGGCATCCATAATTAGTTTTGTCAAAAAAAAGGAGTAAACGGAAACTTTACTCTAAAGTTAAAAGTGTTTTAAGATAAATTTATTCAGACTAAAGAATCCACCCACAATAACACGCGAATGACATTGAGTTGTTTACTGAAAGAGACGTCACAATCATGACGGATGTGGAGAACAGCGTTTTAGTGTTTAAAAATATAGACTAAAAAATATTTTATAAAATGAAATTTCTACAAGAATCTTCTGCTTTTATGAAGTGAAATCGATATATTTAGGTTCCTTAGACCAAATACTGTAAGAAATATACATTTATTTAATGCAATTCGACATGAGTCAACTGGCTTGTGTTATGGGATACTAGGGTAACGGATAGAATACATATACAGAACATATATAAGCATATTTATATAGAAATACATATTAAACATCCATGACTGGAGCACAAATGCTCGTATTCATCACACAAACATCTGCCCCCACCGGGATTCGAACCCGGGACCTCTCGAGTCGGCGACACCATAAAACCCGGCGTACAAACCACTCGGCCACGGAGGTCGTCAAAACGTCGTAAAAGGGATGGGTGGATTTTTTGGGCTGTATTTGACTTGCAAGTTTTTTAATGTCTGCTTTTATTTAAGTCGTAGACACTGTGTCGCGTCTAAATGTTAATCCGTTAATCGCGAACAATTATTATTTTTGTGATAATGTCTGCTTATCTTCTGAACAAACTTTTTAAATTCCTTGAAGTTTGCAGAATTAAAACCTTGAATACTCTCAAAGTCTAACAGCATGCACTTTGGCACTTTTGCTCAGTATATTTATCTTGCAGACCTCAGGCTTGCGGGCCTCACTAAGATGGTCCACGAGTCGCATGCAGCCCGCGGGCTGCTGGTTGCCGACCCCTGCTGTAAAAAGTGGAGATACAGATCTCTTTTACGTATAAAAGTATATATTGGTGTCGATCCTAGCATGATTCTCTAAACTTAAAACTAAATTTAACATTAGTCTCTCCTTTTCATTCTGTATAGAGAATGACAAACATACACTGTTGTCAAATTTAAATTTAAGTTTAAGTTTAGAGAATCGTGCCAGAATCGACACCAATATATAGATAGTACATAGAGGACTTAATACTAATAAACTTTTAAATATTTTTTTGTTGGCAATTCCTTTTTTGTCTATGGATAAATTTTGACAGCTGACGGGGACATCCGGCGTGCCGACGTGAAACGGGTCCTTTTTCAAGCGTACGCCATTGCTGGCGTATGGTAGTTTATTTTATTGAAAGTAAAATCAAAAGCCATCCAAAATGGTGAGTATTTAACATTACAGAAGTGTTCAGGGAAGTGAAGCGGTGTTGTTTTACAATCATTTTGTGTATATATTTTATCACAATCGAGTAATATCGCTTTACATTAGGAAGTTTTCTTCGCGACCGTCTTCTTTGTCATCGGGTGACGTTTTCTAGTGATGTGGTGGAAATCTCTAGTTTGTGGATGTCCTTGAAGATCTTAGGGGATAGTGATAATAAATAGATAGGGCTATATCCTAAATAGAGTCTAAAGTAATACCGAGAAAAATGGAACGTGCGTATGACAAGTGGAGAACCATATGTGCAGCGGTGATGTGTACGATGACTTCTATGTGTTTTCTCTGGTCTGCAGGTGAACTTTACAGTAGACGAAATCCGCACGATGATGGACAAGAAGCGGAATATCCGCAACATGTCGGTGATTGCCCACGTCGACCACGGCAAGTCGACTCTGACAGACTCCCTGGTCTCGAAGGCCGGTATCATTGCCGGAGCCCGAGCTGGCGAAACCCGCTTCACCGACACACGCAAGGACGAACAGGACAGATGCATCACCATCAAGTCTACGTAAGTGCACACAAAGGTGACATATTTACCAAAATAACCATCACACATGGTGTTTTTATAACCTTTAGTTTGGACTTGAAACTAAATTCTATTGCACGTGAATAATATTTCAGTGTAGATATCCTGTTGCACTAGGAAAAATTAAGTATTGGCTTTATCAGTACATAATATTATTTTAGTGCATATTGCACAATAAAACGTAAACCCCATTGATTATTGTTTAATCTATTGCTCTGTTGCTAAACAACATGATGATTGTTCTTACCATTTCAAACTGAGTTTTCACAATGAAGATTTTCAGAACGGCCATCTGATAACTACTCTCTCATGCTACTTGTGATATTTTCAGTTTGAGCCGACAGTAAAATGTGTCTTTTCATTTCAGAGCTATTTCTATGTTCTTTGAGCTTGAGGAGAAAGACTTGGTATTCATCACCAATGCTGACCAATGTGAAAAGAATGAAAAGGGATTCTTGATCAACCTGATTGACTCTCCTGGACACGTTGACTTCTCGTCTGAGGTGACTGCTGCCCTCCGTGTCACTGATGGTGCCTTGGTCGTGGTGGACTGTGTCTCTGGTATGCCACAATAAGTTTACTTTCATCACTATTCTAAAATTCTCTTAAAATTTTAGTATCAAATATTTGTAATAGTTTCTATGTTGTAATTTATTATTGCACAATTTGATGAAGTCTTAATTATGTTTGCTTCATTAATTATTTACTACAATATGAAATGTTGAAATAGATGCCTTAAGATGTTATCATTTGTGTGTAGGTGTGTGTGTACAAACTGAGACCGTGCTGCGTCAGGCTATTGCTGAGCGTATCAAGCCCATCCTGTTCATGAACAAGATGGACCGTGCTCTGCTCGAGTTGCAGCTGGAATCTGAAGAGCTGTACCAGACGTTCCAACGTATTGTTGAGAACGTAAACGTCATCATCGCCACCTACTCTGATGACAGTGGTCCTATGGGTGAGTTATCATCTTTGTGATTTGATCTTCAAACAATTTTCCTTAGCTGATAATAATGAAGGAATCCTGTATGCCTAATAAATGCTGTTTCTCATTTTATTATAACTTATTTCTGGTATTTAAATTACAAATTAAAACTTGTTTCCATATTTAAAAGTTAATTGCTTTATCCAGAAACAAAATAAAGTTTTTCTTTTCATTAAAAAAGAGTTTCACAACTTTACAGTGTTGCTTATTATGAAGCTGAAAGATTTTGTTATGAATTGGTGATTTTTTCACAGCAGTTATGATAATATGATCATCATAACTAAAATTGTACATTTCACAAAAGTTTTTTATAATAATCTTCAATTTGTTATCATTAATTTGTATAATCATGCCGACAACACGCGTAGATCGCACGTTGGCGTGAAGCGCATTTTCAATGCTCTCAAGGTCATGATCACTTACCAATTTGTTACAGTGTTGGGTATTTTCATATTTTTCTGGGCTGATTGACAAATTGCAGGACTAAGCAATTTGCTCAATATTATTTGCCCATTGGATTACAACTAGCTTCAAAATGTAGTCCCTGTTAGTTTTGACTTTTGACCCTAATTTACAATGTAATTTTGGAAATCCTGACCTACAACACAAACATAGCTAAATTAAAAGAATATTGTGTAATCAGGTCAAGCGGAGATCTCTTTGTGGGAGGTCTCTATGCTGAGCAGTAAGCATTATATGGTTGAATGATAATGAAACTGAGCAATAACAGCAAACATGCTTTTTGTATAGGTGAGGTACGTGTGGACCCCAGCAAGGGTTCCGTGGGCTTTGGATCAGGTCTGCACGGCTGGGCCTTCACCCTTAAGCAGTTCTCTGAAATGTATGCCGACAAGTTCAAGATTGACCTTGTCAAGCTCATGAACAGGTCAGTTCTATACCTATAATATAATCACCATGCAAATTCCTTATATTCCATCTTTATTTCATATCTAATACTACTTTTAGCTGATGTTGATGATATTTATTAAATGTGTTCTAGTTTTGTATTTATGCATTCATAAACAACTGTTTTGTTAGTGTTTCACAAAATAAGTCTGCACTCTACAACAACTTGTTCTTGCAGTCCTGATAGGTGAAAGTATTTGATTGAGAAAGTGAAAGGTTTCTCAAGAATGTAATGTTTTAATGGATTGCACTAAAAGTAATAAGTTTTTTGGATGACTTTAAAGCACAGCATACCTATTTATTTTCTTTGTGGATATTATTATTGCCTTGTATCTTACAGGAAGCATTGCAAATGTCCCAAGTTCTTTTAACCATTGTTTAACAATGGTACTTGCAAGGTCATTGTGTCCCATCTACAATTATTTCTACAGCTTGTATCCTGTCAGGGCAGGCTTCTAAGAATCGCTATCCTTATTAAGAGTATGACTGTTCAGTTACCAAGTGAACATTGTATTTGTTAACAAAACTTCTCTTTTCGATTTCCTACTATAACAGCCTGTGCTGCGTTAAGCAGGAACATGGAGCAGACGTTCCTGTCGTTCAACTTTCGAATGGAGTTTCACGCATCGCAAGCCCTAAGATAGCAGCGGGCACATTTTTTGTTTTATATAATAAGGGCGCAATTGTACTAGGTCGTTAGCCCTAATACAGCCTATGGAATTCGGACAAACGGCTAAGTGTAAATGAACGGCGTCGAGTACTCCTGGGTACGGACAGTTTTCGTTTTGTTTACCCGACGCGCCATCTTTTAGTTGGTGTTGTGTAAAAACAATGTAAATATTGCATCGAATGCCTGAATTAGAGTGATGTCTTTCGTGCGCTGGAAACTAGCTAACAATCAAATGTAAATGCGTCTTAAGGCCAATCATATTATGGTATGAAAATGCAGTCTGTTATCGTTATTAAAATTTTGTTTAATATAGTAATTTTTTTTAAAAGCTTCGTCCTGTTGATACTGGGTAAAGATTAAAATGCTATACACCAGTGGCAGAAAAGGACGAACATAAATTCTCAGCTAGGATTGGTGAATTGTTCACTTTGAGCACTTTACAACAAATGCTGGGAAACATTTCTCATTAGTACCATTGTTATGTGCTTGACCCAGAACAATGCATACAGATAAACAGACTTGTTTAATTGAGTAATCTCATCAAGATTGAATAATAGGTAATTAGCTTATCAAAAAATGGAAGTAGGTATCGGTTGTTCCACATTTCTTAAAATTTTATTAAACATATATACTTAATAATAGATTATTTATGTAGCAAGGCTATCAAAAGTTGTGGGAGATACTAAAAATTCTTTATGATTTTAACAGACTTTGGGGAGAGAACTTCTTCAATGCCCAGACTAAGAAATGGTCAAAGCAAAAGGACTCGGACAACAAGCGTTCCTTCTGCATGTACGTGCTGGACCCCATCTACAAGGTGTTCGACGCCATCATGAACTTCAAGAAGGAGGAAATCGACAGTTTGCTCAAGAAGATTGGAGTCACACTCAAGCACGAGGACTCTGACAAGGACGGCAAAGCTTTACTCAAGGTAGGTTCATGTCTTAGTCATTTCTTTGATAATGTCCAGTTTTTCATTTAATTAGGTTTCCCATTTGAGGTTTACTTTAGAAATAATATTCATTCAAAGAAACAGTCCCAAGTGTTGCCAGTTGCTTAATAAATCAGCTTCTGGGTGTCAAAGTGGACTAAAATTGTTTCTTTCTGGAATTGGTTGGTTGTTTTTATATCAGCTGACCCCATAAATGGAAGATACAAGTTTCTTGGCAAATTCTTTAGTCTCTATGTAACTAACTTTCTTTCTTGCCATAGTTTTACTCTTGAAACTTAATGAACTTTTTTTATTGTTAATTATTATAGAATGTTGATGTAATAAAATAAATTTGAAGGCCATCAGTCTGGTAAAGCCTCTTATGTTTTTTTATTTTCATTAAAATTTTCTGGACACAAGACATTTCTTAGTTATTTTTTGTATAGGTCGTCATGCGCTCATGGCTGCCTGCCGGAGAAGCCTTGCTTCAGATGATTGCCATCCACTTACCGTCGCCCGTGGTGGCCCAGAAGTACCGTATGGAGATGTTGTACGAAGGACCCCACGACGATGAAGCCGCTATTGGTATCAAGGTAAATATCTTATGTATACAATCATTGTGTAAACACTACAACTAACAGTTTTTTAAATGTTGATAAAATAATAAAACTACTTTCTTTATAGTTTGAAACACTTTAGTTTTTTTTTTTACAATGTTTTTTGTTCAATTCAAATCAAACCAATAAATACAGACATTTTTAAGTTCATATTTGTACGTATGTACTTGACATAGCCATAGGTTAAATTATAAGAAGTCTGAAAACGGTACCACATTGCCTTTGTCAAGTTTGACAATGCCTTTTGTTACACTTGAAGAAAATGTAAAATACAGTATTCAATCATAATGTTTAATTTAAACATTTAATTGCTTGTTTTTAAATTAAATATTTTCTGTTAATCTACTATAATAATAATCTAGAAGTTGAAGTCTGCAAATTCTCGAATCTTTCTCACACTTGAATAGAGTAGAATGTTCTTTAGTAAAATTTTCTTTAGAAAACCAGTAACTTATAATGTTCTAATGTGTGCTTGTTTGATGTAGAGCTGCGACCCCGAAGCACCTTTGATGATGTACGTTAGTAAAATGGTGCCGACTTCGGACAAGGGCCGTTTCTACGCGTTCGGCCGAGTGTTCTCCGGCAAGGTCATCACCGGACAGAAGGCACGCATCATGGGACCCAACTACCAGCCCGGCAAGAAGGAGGTAAATTTATTTTGACAATGGTAAACTTGATTTTGTAGTACTCCTCCTATTAGTAGAGGAGACCGTATAAGATCGACCTTCACCGATCTGATAACATATAGTTTTGACTATTAAATCTACTATACATTATAGCTTTGACTATTAAAAATAATTTAACAAATTAAAAACATAGGTCATTATAATTTTAGGGAAATGTTTTTTACAATTATTATTTGCACTTTTTTCATTGGAGGTCTGTCTTTCATTATAATTTTAGGAAAGTGATAAAAACAATTATAAGTTGAACATTTTTCATTAGAGGTCTGTTTTTTTTATTCATTCAACACTTGCTTTTACTACTTTAGTAAGAAGTAGTAAAGTTTTGATTGGTTACGGAATTAAAACACCCTTCCTGCACATTCGTACCGAGCCGTAGCGCTAGCCCCGTACGTAGGTACGTCGCTGGCGCGTTGACGGCGCCGGCGTGCGATGGAAGCAGACTATAGATATATCGGCCGCGCTATAACGCTGCTCAGGACCGCTATCCTTATGTCCTAGGACTGTATGCTGACGCGCGGACGTTACATTCATTTACATGATATCATCATCAGCCTATTAATGTCCCTACTACTGGGGGGCACGGGCCTTCCCCATGGATAGAATACGGAGATTGGGCCCTGTGCGGTTTGGCCGGTGCTAACGACTACAGATGCAGCCGGGACCAACGGCTTAACGTGCCTTCCGAAGCACGGAGGAACTCAAGATAGAAAATTTTTGGTAATCCAATAACCGACCACTGCTAAAAGTGCTGAACTTCAACGATCGCAGCCAAACGCGCTAACCACTCGCGCTATCGAGCTCCTTAACTTACACGATATAAATGTCCCATATTAGCGAATGTTAAAGTAGCAGTTTCTGTCGACTTTCGCCGAATTGTGCATTAAGGGCTTGCATACTACAGCTGCGACTAGGGTTACCATCTATTTGATGGAGGACGCCTGTCTAAATTATAAAAAGCGCCTGATTTTTTCAGAAAAAAGCCTGTCTGCAATTAAATAAATCTTAAGCCAACTAAAAAAATTTATATTTTTTTATAAACTTTATTATTTTATAAATTTATAAACTTTATGAGGAAAAGCTATTATTATAATTTTTTCTATTTGTTGAGTTTACTGACATCATCTGTATTTGTAGGATCTGTACGAGAAGACCATCCAGCGTACAATCTTGATGATGGGTCGTTACGTAGAGGCCATTGAAGACGTACCTTCTGGTAACATCTGCGGTTTGGTTGGAGTTGATCAGTTCCTCGTTAAGACCGGCACCATCACTACCTACAAGAACGCCCACAACATGAAGGTCAGTATATTCTATTTAATATTGAGTAATAAAAAAAGGGTTGCCAAGAATATGTAAGTTCAAAATAAAACTGAATGACAAAATAAAGCTCTATGGAAAAAAGGAACTGCTCTGTGAGGTTTTTTTTATCCATCACAAAAAACTAAATTGTGGTTTTAAAACATAAGGTTTGAGGTCAAAATCAAAAATTCAAAAAACAGTCCCAAGTGTTGCTGGTTGTTTAATAAATCAACTTCTGGGTGTCAAAGTGGACTAAAATTATATTCTTTCCGGAATTGGTTGGCTGTTTTTATAACAGCTGACCCCATTAATGGAAGATACAAATTTCCTTATAAATAGCTTTTTTGTTACTTACTTTTACTTACGTTTACTTATATTCCAATAAACTGAAAATTTAAACTTATCATGACTTTCTTTAGACAAATCATTTTTGTATGTTTATTTTCTTTAATATCTAATAATAAAAAAAAAGTTATAAGTGCAAAAATATTTTTAAGCAACAATGTATTTCTGATTGAACCTTCATTTGAACTCGATTTATTTTACAGTGATTCATGAAAAATGTAAGATATATAATTATTGTATTAAACTTATCATCTAACACAATTTACTTCTCAAGGGTCTCTAAAATCTAAAATAACCGTAATATTTAATTTAACTTTTTTAGGGGCTGTCCATTAATCACGTGAGGGTGTCGAGAGGGGGTCCATAAAAAACACGAAATATAACAAGGGTGGGGTGCAGTAATATATCACGTGTATTTGCATGGTCCGAGGATACTGTACATTAAATAGTGTTCATATATTTGTACATACACTATTTCCAACGCATTTGCATTTGCTTAAAGCTTGGAGCTGTTTGCAAATAAACATAAAAAAAAAATTGTACAAACAACTTAAGCAAGCATTTCTTTCATTATTTTTATTTCTATTAGGTCAGAAACAACCTGCAACCTTTGTCTAGTAATAATAATAATAATAATGATAAAGTAATTATTGTATTCTTTAATTTTCTATAATAAAATTGGATGATACTTACAGCTGTATTTTACAAATACTAAAAAAATGTAGGTACTAAAAAAAACACGTGATGCGGGGGCGGGCGGGTGTAGTCATAAACCTCACCATGTATCACCGAGAGGGAGGGGTTTAAAAAAAGCCAAAAAAAACATCACATGATTAATGGACGGCCACTTATGGAATTGCATAGAAATGTAACATCACATCAACTATTTTCCCATGGTGCAGGTGATGAAGTTCAGTGTATCGCCCGTCGTGCGTGTGGCCGTGGAGCCCAAGAACCCTGCTGACCTGCCCAAACTGGTGGAAGGTCTCAAGCGTCTCGCCAAGTCCGATCCTATGGTACAGTGTATCAATGAGGAGTCCGGCGAGCATATTGTTGCTGGAGCCGGCGAGCTGCATCTGGAGATCTGTCTCAAGGTCTGTAAATCTGTTTCAAACTTTTCAAGACTATAATAGAGAATATTTCCGCCAGAACCAGACTTTAAGGCCCGTATTACAGAATGACTACTAAGTGTTGATCTTTGCTTGCGTACAGTTAGAAAGGGATGTCGCTATGTGCTATATATAGCGATATCCCTTTCTAACTATGCTCAAGACTTGATCAATCACTGACAATCTTTCTGTAATACGGGTCTTAGTCTTGATTGCTTATAATTCTGGTACTTTGCTTGGCTATTTGTAAACTTTACATTTCATTCCAAAGCATAACAAGGACAGACTTGTCAAGTTAACAAATAGCAATTATGAATACCCAAGTGAAGTGCTGGCATCACCTGACTATTCATTTTTGCTATTTGTAAATTTGACAGCAGTCTTTCCTTTTCAATTCCTAAAGAGCATGGATAAGGATATGTCACAATAGCCACTTATACTAATATAATAAATTGTTTGTGTTTTTCACAATAATTTGTAAGTAGCGTTAACATATAAGGGGCACAAATTGGTTTATTAATATGATCAGATTACGATGATACCTGGCGATATTGCTTCCCATTATGCAACACTTTGAATCTTATAATGTGAGCTTACAATTATTTAATCCTCAGACACCTACTGTTGTACCATCTTACTTGTACAGTACACAAGTAAACATTTATTTCTAAGTCCCATTTAATCATACTAAAATCCAAAACCATTTCTGCAGGATCTGGAAGAGGACCACGCTTGCATTCCAATCAAGAAGTCTGACCCCGTAGTATCGTACCGTGAGACCGTCTCCCAGCTGTCCGACCAGATGTGTCTCTCAAAGTCTCCCAACAAGCACAACCGTCTCTTCATGAAGGCGCAGCCCATGCCCGAGGGTCTGCCAGAGGATATTGATGAAGTAAGTATCATTTATTTATGTCTTTGGCTTCACACAAGTATGTCAGCAAGTAAAGTAATAAAGAGAATACCCCAAATATTAAGATTATTAGTTTTTTTTATCGCTGCAATTTGAGCTGAAAATCCGCTATGTCCTATCTCTCTTAGGCCTGTATGACAGAAATATAACTAAGTACTCAACTAAAGATCAACATCTTTACTTGAGTACAGTTAGAAAGGGATGTCGCTATGTGCTATATATAGAGACATCCCTTTCTATCTATGCTCAAGACTAGATTAATTACTGTGAATCTTTCTATAATACGGGCCTTAGCTTCTTATTTTTTTAATAATACTTTATTATGTTATAAACAAAATGTTATCTCTAACAGGGCCGCGTTAACCCGCGTGACGACTTCAAAACGCGTGCTCGCTACCTTAGCGAGAAATACGAATACGACGTGACAGAGGCGCGTAAGATCTGGTGCTTCGGCCCCGAGGGCACCGGGCCCAACATCCTCGTGGACTGCTCTAAAGGAGTGCAGTACCTCAACGAGATCAAGGACTCTGTGGTGGCCGGCTTCCAGTGGGCCGCTAAGGAAGGAGTGATGGCTGAAGAGAATCTGCGTGGTGTCCGCTTCAATATCTACGACGTCACGCTGCACACTGACGCCATTCACAGGTCATTAACACTACCCTATCATCATCATCAGCCTATTTGTGCCCCACCTTCCTTTATTTTATTTTTTTTGGGTTCCGGTGGTTATTCTCTGGAGAATTACCAAAGTACATTTATTGGAATCAAATTATATACTACATATAGTTAGATGGTTTAGCATATGGATGTTTGGATTCCATCCCTCTTTAATAAAAATATAAGCTCTTTAATGTATGTAAAAAGAGATGATTATAACACTTACAGAATTAGAAGGATGTAAAATGACACTTTGACATTAGCAATTTAGTATCGCAGATAGAACGCTCTATCAACCCCTTATTTAATAATTCACAATGTGCTCCCCCATCTAGGGCATCTAGTCTTTTATGCTTTTGATTTCTGGTTTTGATTTCAATCCCAAATCATCTTGATTGATTTCTTATAAACAAATAAATACCACAAGTTTTGAAAATCTTTTGGAATTAATTATCCCAAAGTTTGTTAATATTCAACCCATATTCTATACAGTTGAATTAAATGGTGTATTTTTGTTTATGCAGAGGTGGCGGTCAAATCATTCCCACAACTAGGAGATGTCTGTACGCGTGTCTGCTCACTGCCGCGCCCAGGCTTATGGAGCCCGTATATCTTTGTGAAATCCAGGTAATATTACTAATCAATTATAACTTTAGCCATACAATCAGTTATTCACTGAAATTAGTGCAACTCAATTTTTTATTTAAATATACTTAATTTGATTCGGTATTATAATAAGGGCAACTAATCATTTTTACATTTGACGATAGTGTTAATGCATCTTTGTTAAATTTGTTGAAAGTTGTTAAAATCCTGACATGCATGTTTGACTTCACCTCCATTTGGACCAAAATTCAAGCTAAAACATTTTTCAAGTCTCATTCTATCAAAACAATTGACATAAGATGAATGATATGTTAAACAGTTTTAAATAAGACTTAATTTTCTTCAAGAATTTTGGTATGGTTGGCCCTAAATATACAGGTGTTACAAAAATACAAATAAAGCCTGAAGGGCGTTGTGTAGTACATCATATAAGGAGTCTTCTCTAATTTTCTTAAAATATTTGCATGAAGTTTTAACCTTTTATAAAAATAGTTATTTTTAATGATCCTCGAACTAGTGACCTGTCTTTAAAAGATCGATATTTTTATTAATCATTAAAAACAACTGTTTTTATAAAAAGTTAAAACTTCCTGCAAAGATTTTAAGAAAAATAGAGAAGACTCCTTATATGATGTACTTCAACGCACTTCAAGCTTTTTTTTGTAACACCCTGTATACCAAACTAGCTAACCCAGTGTACTCTGTACTGCTTACAAAAATTTGGAAGAAATGATAAACGACGAAATGAATAACGAAATGTTTGACAGGAATACAGATAGAACTGTTTATATGGAAAAATGAAATTGTATTTTTAATCTCTTTCTCGCAATTTTCCATATTTTCTCACCGTTTAAACCTTCCCTGGGCTATGACAAACATTTAAAACCACAATCAGCTAAATCGGCTCAGCCGTTCTCGAATTTTAGCGAGACATGAACAGCAATTGATTTTTATATCATCCCAAATAATCCAAGCATGAGCACCCACGTTGTATCCTGAGCGGGCTATGTATTGATAGTTCCGCCTTTCCGACACGTGGCAGAGTAACAGTTCTTTGTTTTGGCATCGACGCCATTCACAAGCTTTGCCTGAATAGGGGAACTAACAGTTTTGTATCGAAATTTTAACCACACCTTGAATTGGACACGTCCTTTAGTCGCAAAAGCATGAGTTTATTTTTATTACACATTTGAATGTTTCATCTATTTTTTATATAAATCAAATACACTTTTTTTTACATTGTTTGATCTAGAATCATTGTATCATAAAACATAACATCAAGGAAACAAAAAGGGTGTAATATAAGCTTTTATTTGTAAAGTTGAAAAGTCGGGGCATATTCATTATTTTTTTTATTACATCATAAAGGATGAGAATTAATTTAAAATAAAATATTATTTTGTTATTTTTGTCATCATTTTCTATTTTTAAATTTTTGAAAGTCAGCACTTCATATAGCTATTTCATTGTTCATAGAAGAAATATTAAACGGCGAACGTCAAATGTTTGACAGGAATATACTCGTAGATAGGACAGTTTATATGGAAAAATAGAAATTGTATTTTTACTATCTTCCTCGCAATTTTTCTATATTTTCTCACCGTTTAAACCTTCCCTTCTACGACGAACATTTAAAACCAAAATCAGCTAAATCTGCCCAGCCGTTCTCGAGTTTTAGCGAGACTAACGAAAAGCAATTGATTTTTATATATATAGAAGATTTATATTATTATTTATTGTCACACAGTGCCCCGAGGTAGCAGTGGGCGGAATCTACGGCGTACTGAATCGGCGGCGCGGGCACGTATTCGAAGAGTGTCAAGTTGCCGGCACGCCCATGTTCGTGGTGAAGGCATACCTGCCCGTCAACGAGTCGTTCGGCTTCACGGCCGACCTTCGCTCCAATACTGGCGGCCAGGCGTTCCCTCAGTGCGTCTTCGACCACTGGCAGATCCTCAACGGCGACCCCTTCGAGCCAAGCACCAAGCCCTACACCGTCGTACAGGTATTGACCATGTTTAACTGTACCCTTAGTACGAGTTTGAGCTCACGAAAACTATCATAGTTTTCGTAATTGTAATTTATGTTTCTATGTCCATTTTGGTGAAAATGAACCAAATATACTTAAAATTTAAGAAGACGCAAATGATTTAATGATAGAATTTAAACACTGTTTATTTGTATTGAAACAAAAATAATAAAATCAGTACCCTTAGTACGAGTGCGAGCTCACGGTAGGTTTCGTAAAAGACAATGGACGGGCGTTCAGTTTTAGATTAGACGATCTCTACATACTAATTGAGGCAAGATTGGGGCACTGATATTCTGGCAGGGCCTATGGTTGATCAGACTAATCATACTGACAACTGCTGGACTGATATCTAAAACAATTTGCTAAATTTGGTTGAAATTTCGTAATTACAAGTATTTTTGTTATTATAAACAAATAAACTTCCACCTCTTTGTTGTCAGGTTTCAATACTCTTGAGAATCATAATTCTTAGATTTAATTAAATTGATAAATACTTTTAAGAAGAAAGCACCCAACCAATATTTTTCATTCAACTTTAATTGCTTGCTAAAGATGAAAGTGCCATCTATCTTGTAAATTTTTTAACACATTTAATAAATCAGATTTAATATTTATTATATAACAGCGCATAATTAGCTAATTTTCTTTAATAAATTTGGATTTTTTAAATACCTGTAACGTAACCCTTCCTGCACATTCGTACCGAGCCGTAGCGCTAGCCCCGTACGTAGGTACGTCGCTGGTGCGTTGACGGCGCCGGCGTGCGATGGAAGCAGACTATAGATATATCGGCCGCGCTATAACGCTGCTCAGGACCGCTATCCTTATGTCCCAGGACTGCATGCTGACGCGCGGACGATACATTAACTCTTAACTTATAATAATTTTACGAACTCCAGTCCCCGTAGCATGAGCACTACGATTTGCAATAAATCACGTTTTTAATCGCATGGTACTGTCATACTCCATAGTAATTTGACAAGTTTTAGAAAACGATCTCACGTTATTGACTAATGTTTATGGAGTCCGTAAAAAGTGGATATTCATCATTCTGTTGTGTATTTCAGTAAAAATAACCAAATTAAAAACTCCATTTGCAAGTTGCCGCGAAAACGTTTCTCTGGACAATATGGCGTCTTACTAGTGTGTGACGTCACTCGACTATTATTAAAACGTCAAACGATACAATGTAATGTCACTTTAACCGGAAGTTTACTTGCGTGTGACGTCATTTTAGGCTTCGTCAATCCCAAGCGTTTTGGGGCACGTGACAATCTTTTTCATGGGTTTTTAGTAAAATTATGAATATTTTTTTGTAAAAATAGTAAAAACCCCTGCCAATATTCATTATAAACACAGATGTTAACCATTGGCACTTTATTTTTAACACTGTCAAATACCCTATTGAGCGTGATAAAAACGCGTTATATATCATATCGCGGTGCTCATGCTAGGGGGATTGATATGATTTTAAATCAAACATACCTTATTTTCACAAGTTCGTAGCTACATGTTTCTGTTTATGTAAAATATTATTTACATCTAATAAAGGGTTATTTTTAATATTTAAATTCAGGGGAATTATGGCGCGATTACACTTGGTTGTTAGCACGGATACGAGTGCCCATAGAAATCAAGTAAACGACATATTCGGGTAGTTTTCTTTTCGGTTACCTGGCATCGTTTTCCTGCCCTTATTCCAGTGTAAATATTGCTTTGGATGCCTGAATTCGAGTCATGTCTTTTGTGCACCCTAATACGGGCTAATGACTAAATGTGATTGAGCCGTTATTCCAATTAGCATTTCGATTGTAAATAACCCGTTATGTTCCATAATCAAGATTATTAACAAACATATTTAATATTAATAATTGTCTTGTTACAGGAAACAAGGAAACGAAAAGGACTCAAGGAAGGTCTCCCTGATTTAAATCAATATCTCGACAAGTTGTAAACGCTGTAGCTAATGCAATCCATAATGTAATATATGTAACATTCGTACGCCTCCCGCCCTTCACTTGTCTTATCACATTTTGTTTGATGCCTTACGGTACAGTTGATGCCTTGATAAGTTTGTAAGTACCGCAAGAGATAACACGAAGAACATTCAATAAAAATATTGCTGGTCGATATATTGCATTGTTAATATTATAACCACAAGCAGTGATACTAGACTGTTATTTGTAGTATCACTATTATATAAATTATAATGAATATCATTTCAATCTTAAGAATTGTTATCGATTGATGTAGTTGGGAACCAGGACTTCATTTACTTTATACTGTAATTAATTTTTAAATTATAATTTTCTATTGTAACAAGTATTGTTTTAATCTCTATTAAAGTATAATACCAGGTTATAAGGTGCGTATCTTTTCTTTAATATTAATAGTTCATTTCAGCTTAGTTGAATTTGCAACACATGCACTTACATTTCTTTTTCAATTTTCAGATACCATTGGGATAAGATCTCTTAACTTTAGGTGAGTTATCGTACCACGTAATACCACGAACAGAAAACATTCATCTAATCTCATACAATAACAATGATTTTAATTTTTTTGTAAATACTTTTGTGTGTAATAACATGCCCTTTATTAGACTTCTTAAGAACTTGTGCATTGCAAAACTACGTATGTACTGATGATAACAATATCCTGATGCCACCATGACGGTCATATAAGCTCAACAGGACTGAACAATAAATAGTTTCATACTTAAAATAAAGTAGGTTAGTCATATTTTTTTAATAATTAATAAGTAACTTTTCTTTACCAGATCTCTGCGGATTGTGTAACAAATGAAGGCAGGTCACAGATTGAATAGGTAAGTTGCACAATAAAGATATTTTAATTATTTATAAAAAATCTGTTATAGAATCATTGCATTACAACATTAAAATATTTGTTGTAGTTTTCCAAACAAAGATATTTTTGCTTTTAATAAAAGTCATAGTGTTTTTGAAAGATAAAATGTACACTTATTGCTAGCCTTTTCGATATCACTTTTCATCTCAAACTACCATGAACAAAGTGGTTAATTAGTACAGTACACAAAATTAGCGATAATAAATGAATCGTTATTAACTTATTATCCTTCAGTGACATGTACGCAACTGTCTCACAATGGATATATTTTTAACATGATATGAAAAAATCTCGTAAATGATGATAAACTCCGCCCAGATGCCATAATGACGGTTTTTAACAAGCTCAACAGGACTGAATAGTAAATAATCAATGACTAGAAACTTTTTGAGTTACGGAGTCGCTAAATTATCTTTTTTGTTATCAGTTCTGCGAAATCGTCACCTACCGCTGCAACCCAGTGAAAACTAATCACCGATGGATTCATTACTGCTTCAGGTCAACTGCAGCGTTAGATTATAGAGTGAGTAATTTGTGTTTTACTTGTTTTATTTGTTTTATAATTTTTTTTGTGATGAACCTTCACAGACCTGTTCTGAATTATCTTGAGGTCAATTAATTTTTTCTGAGCATTAAAGCAAAATTATTTATTTTATTTGTCTGTATCTGGTCTTAATGGCATATTTTTTTTATAGACGGTGGTAACTGCGTACGACTGCTGCTATGGTGTCCAGAAATTATAGGTAAATATAAATTGTATTATTATTTAAAAATAATAGTTTAGATATTATGTGTAGGTGTTTTATGTCCTCTAATATTCTATTTTCCCAAATTTTTTCACTCTGTCAATTTTACAGTACTTAATGAAAATAACCTAACTTTCATGATGATAAATCACAGACCTGTTCTGAATTTCTCTTGAGGTCAAAAGTTTTACTGATTTGAATATAAATGAAATACAAAATTGTATGATAAATTGTAAATCTGTATTAATCAAATGATTTTTTTATCTTTTCAGATAGTGTTGTGGTGAATCTTTAAATACTTCTCTTTAAATTATTATTGATGTTATGATTTAATAAAGGTTAAATTTATCAAGCTTGTTTTTATTTCGTCTTACACCTTAGCGAAATAACTATTATCTACATCCATGCTTTAAAACCGCTATTAACTCCTTGTAACGCACGTAATCATCGTCATTATTAGCAAGATATAGCCCTTTGAGAAACCACTGTGGAAAACGTACGTACTTATACAAAATTTTAGCCAGAAGGATAAATTTGTACCTGTTGTAAGTCGAACGTTGCAAATCGCCGAATGCGAGCTCTCTTATACAATTAGGCAATTAATACAATATGTCCCAATTAATAATCAAATATAAGTAAAATTAACATTTTTCAATAGGCACGCAGAAAGCAAAGGGCATTCAAATTGTTTTCATATAGAGAGGATCTGATCTTCTTGCAAAAGTAACCTGCATTAGAAAGAAATAAGCTCTCTCTGCTTCAACGCTAGTAGGGGTAAGAATAACAAATAATAACTACTGATTTAAATGCTTACCTCTGTCGCCACCATTCTCAAAGAGAGCTTTTTCTACATGCAAAGACGTTTTCAAGTCATGGATGCTAGTTGTTTTTTCTAATTTTTTGAGGATTTAGCAAGTTTTCAAGCTCACACGCTAGGTGTTCTTTAGCAGTTAAACTGGTGAGCTCCGCAATCGTGATATCATTTAAATCATTGGCACTGGAATTCACTTAATAACTGTCAGTAGATTATTTAACTAAGCCTCGAAAACTGGAGTTGAAGTCTCGAGTCTGAAAAATACGACAAAATCGTCGAGACCGAGACTCCCGGGATAAAAGCCCTAGTTCTTACGTGCTTAAAATTGTAGTAAACCCGTCGAAAACTTACATGAAACCACCGTGAAAAATCAAATAAATCACTTTTTGTTAATATATAACATTCGTTTTTTTTTATACGTCCTTGGCATTCGATATACTATAATACTTTATGGCACTTTGCAGACGGCGGGGCGGAGCGGACCGGTCAATTTCGCCGCGAACGATAGCACTAAGTGAAAGTAAAACTAGGTATATTCAAATAAAAAAACCAGTATTTTAAAACTCTTCACTTTGATTATCCATTTTATTAAAAAAGTTGTTTTTATGAGTCAAATATGGCAGATATTTAATGCCAAAATGAAACATCTCTATCTAACGAAGTTAAAACCAAATTACTAAACGTTTTTACCTTACCTTTATTATACTGTTTATATGTACTACTGTATACTGTATAATTTGCTGACCTAGTAATGATCCTCATTACCGAGATGTTACCGAGGTTATAAGTCGCTCGATGTGGGCGCTGACCTGTTAACTAGGTACCTAACTACTTAGTACTTAATTTACTTTCTTCTACCTAAGGGTGCGGCCAGAGTGCACTCAGATTCAGATTCCGAAAACAAGCGCGAGAAATAAACAGTGTAGTCGAAGGGTGCGGCCAGAGTGCACTCAGATTCAGATTCAGATTTCGAAAACAAGCGCGAGAAATAAACACTGTAATCGAAGTTTTCATTCCGCGCCATTTTTAGAAATTGAAAATATTTGTACATGATAGGAAAATCCCATTTCCAGTAGGATTGAAGTGGCAGATCGGTTTTTGCATGAGGAAACATCATAATTTTCAATTCGACTCGATTTTTCGACTGGCGATACGGATCGATCGAAATGCGGCACATACGGTGCCAAAGAAACATGCGAGGTTTCTCATGATTATATAGAACGAATCTAACGCGCCTCGTACGGTACTGACATACGCGATCACCTTTACAGTAAATGGTAAATGTTGACGTGATACCGTCTTATAAATCGATGAATACCGGCTGCACGCATAAAAAAGTGTCACGCAAAGAGTAAAGTAAGTATACGTCACGTTCCGCGGTTTTTTTAGCAGTTGGCAATAGTGTTACTTACTTCCTGTATCCCTCAAAAGAGCATGAATCTAGAGCCGTAAAAATCAATAAAAAAACGTCAAATTACGTTTTACGTCAAAAATCTCAAGGTTCCGAATGTGCTGTGCAATGCGCATGTTGTAGAAAACATTTAATTTTCTGTGAAATAGCTTTAGGCTCGTTTGTTAATGCTGTGTAGTTCGTCGCGGCGGCTTTCAGATTATCTAAAAAAAATGCTGCCATCTGTAGTTTTCGTGCTTGGAGCTCCAGGATCTGGCAAAGGCACACAGTGCTCATATATTTCTAAGGAATACGATTTTGTGCATTTATCCGCGGGTGATTTACTTCGGGAAGAACGTCAGAGACCTGGTTCAGAATATGGAGAGATGATTGAACAGAAGATACGTGACGGTGAAATAGTTCCGGTTGAGGTTACATGTTCCCTTATTCACAAAGCTATGCAGAAATCAGGGAAAACCCGTTTCCTAATCGATGGATTCCCTCGGAACAAGGATAATTTGGATGGGTGGAACTGTGTTATGTCAGATAAAACAAAATTACTGTTTGTATTATTCTTTGAGTGTTCTCAAAATTTGTGTACAGAACGTTGCTTGGGCCGCGGCGCTGCCGGCAGTGGCCGCTCTGATGATAATCCCGAAAGTATCGAAAAGAGATTCAATACGTACATTAATGACACAATGCCAATCATCCAACATTATGAAAAGTTAGGTTTAGTAAGAAAAATCAATGCAGAAGTTGCTCCTGATGTAGTTTTTGAAGATGTCAAAAAAGCTTTTGATAGCATTGAGTTAGCTAATTAAATTAATTTGTATAGTTAAGTAAATCAATACCTAAATTAATTATCTAGGGCCATTGTGAAGTCTAGTTGAGTGCTAGATGCTTTTTGTATGCAATAATAGTTTAAAAATCATGAATTTGATAGTATATAAGATTAACTTGCCATTGCCAGTGAAGAACTTTAATTTTGTAATCATTAAAATAATGTAAATGACATCTTAGATTGTAATTAATCTTATTTTCCTGTTGTTAAGTCAGCTCTTTTAAACAAAAGTGACCTTGAGCATTGATGGTATAGTAGAATGACCTTTATAAAGAATTATACTTGACCTTCACTACCACTAGCTACCTATTAAGTTGTCCCTATTGTAAGTTTATTATCATTTATGTATGGCAGATATCATCAAAATATTATCTTGCAAGTCAGCCTACCTACATATAAATTCACTAATATCTACAGCTAATTTGATATGAGTATGGCAAATTACTTACAAATAAAAATGGTTTCATTACTATTTATAATGTTATATTTGTAACTGGATATAATAACCCCTCTCCTCCTCTTTACCTGTGTAGTGGTTTTATAATGTAAAAAGAAATTAAATCTATTATTTTGTATTTGGAATATTGTAAATCATTATGATTGTAAATGAATCTAAAAATATAATAATGCCACTGACATAGGCAAACATGTTAAAAGAGTATGTATATGAGCATATCTCCATCTCACAAAGATCAAGTTATATCATAATTAAGCTGTTACCTTGTGTACCAGATATCAAACTCATGAAGTGAAATATGAAATAATGTTGTATTATTGTCTTTATTATTTAAATCAAGTAATTAATATAGTATGTTATAACATTCCTCTGATATGTTTAGATTACCACTTGTGTTTGTGGTGTAGATGATTTACTGTAGCTGATGTAAAATGCAAAAGCAGATGTAATAAATTATACATGCCAAAGGTTAATTTATGTGTTTATTTCACCAAGGTCGAAGCATTTAGCTGTCACTGATATCTTATAAACAGATCACAACTAACTCCTTTAATATACATGTCTCATCACCAGAATGGTGAGAACATCTTTGTAGTTTATTGATGACAACCTCCATGTCTCCAGTCCCAGTGGCACAAATGTTTGTGATGAATATGAGCATTTGTACCTAATTGCGCGATTACACTTGGTCATTAGTCCAAATATGAGTGCCAATAGAATTCTGGTAGACGAATAAATGTAAGGTGCATTGGGGTAAGAACGGGTCACTGAAATATCAGATGGTGCAAATATGTACTAAACGCAGCAATATTTTTTAATTCTGGCATAAAAAATACTTAAATAAAATATCTGAACTGACAAGTATGCACATATTTAAAATTATTATTATTAATGATGAAAAAAAGACCGTATTTTAACAGCCCAAATTTTTCTTTATTGATGGACGAGTTTGTTTAATCATGAAATTGACATTTGAAGTTAGTTTTATATTATTCATGTTTGTTTTGGATGCCTTTTAGTTTTAATAGTTTAGTGATGTCGATTCTTGCATTATCCTCTAAACTTAAAACTAAATTTAACATCAGTCTCTCTTTTTAATTATGTATAGTGAATGACAAGGATACACCGTTGTCAAACTTAAGTTTAGGTTTAGAGAATCATGCCTATATATATATTTATTGGTCTTCACGCTCTTTCTGATTGCATGTCGGCAAATTCCGTCCCTGGCAGTGACAACGTACAATTAATAAAATGTCCTAAGTGATCACAACCCTGGTTTTTCATCATCCTTTATTTATTACATAAAATGGAAAAGATTGGATATTTTTCTAAAGAAAACCTTACGTCTTAAGCAATACAGTAGCTAGTAGCAGTAGATAGTAGTCCGATGTTACCCCGCTGTGGTCCGGTCTTTACTTGGCATTTTGATAAGCATACCTTATCTTCACAAAGGTGTAACTTAGCAACCGCTTCAGTAAAAGAAACTTCAAAAACACTGATTGTATTTTTTTTCCTTATCAACTAAACATCAATTTCATTTAAAAATCTTATATAGGAAATCAGAGACAGAACATATTCTGGAACCTCTTCAACTAACCGACAAACAGTCCGACCTTACCCAACCTTAAATGGAGTCGAGTACACCTGTATTTAGGTAATTTTCGTTTTGGTTACCTACCTGTCACCATCTTCCAGCCCGTCAATATTGCTTCGGGTGCCAGATTTCGAGTAGGTAATGTCTTTCTTGCACCTGAATACGGGCTAACTACCAAGTTTAATTGAACCATAAGTCATGTACAAAGATGGGACAAATGCAAAATTGTATTTAAATACTATTTTTAGTAAAGCATTTTCTGTATTTTTTGAAATCCCTAAATAAAGGACATATTTTGTATTTGCATAATACAATAAATTTCTTAACCGACTCCTAAAAGAAGGAGGTTCTCAATTCGGTCGCTTTTTTATGAATGTACACCGATTACGCCGAGATTTCTGACCCGATATATGTGTTTTTTTTTTGTATGCAGAACAGTTGCCAATTGCAACCCACCCAAACCCATAAAAATGAATTAAGATTGCCGCAGTAGTTCTTTTTAGTTTATTTAATGAGCGTTTCGGTTAACTTATGGTGTGGTTTTATTTTGATCCATAGAAGATACTTGCCTGTTAGTCTCATGATCTTAAAGTATACTTTAGTTATTTCCATAGTGTAATAATTTCCATAATGTAAGTGTCGTACGGAATTTTATTGTGGGGAAGCGCCGCCGACATTCAAACTATTTTTGTGCTGCAGAAGAGAGCTATTCGATCAATTTATATTCTTAAAGTTAAGGATTCCTTAAGAGACAGGTTTAAAGAATTTGGTATAATGACGGTCGCATCACAATACATTTACGAAAATTTATTACTTGTAAGAAAAAATATTAATTTGTTTCTTAAAAACAGTGATGTTCACACACTTAATACAAGAAACAAAATTAAACTAACTTTACCTGCTACTAGGCTTCACAAAATCAATAATTCATTTAAAATTCTTCGTATTCGCTTATACAATAAAGTCCCAAGCAATATCCAAGAGTTAAGCATAAATAAATTCAAAGATAGTATAAAAAAGCACTTATTAAAAAAGCTTATTACAAAGTGTCTGATTATATTACAGACAAAAATGCTTGGGTTTGAACTGTTCCAATCATTCCAACAGGTGTTCTATATTAAATAAATCATGATTGTATTGACGTTGTAACAACATAATGATTTGTAAATGTTGTTACATTATGCTTTTAATGTTGTGGAGTTTTTTTCGCTCGTTTTTCTCCGCGGCTAAAAAATATGTCCAATAACGAGTGGTAGGGAAAAAAATGTTTGGACGATTTAAAAGTGTTGTACTATACATCCAATTTGAATAAAGATATATTGATTTCTGATTTCTTAATTTAGTTTGACCCATTAGATTTCATTTTATGAGCATTTTTGTTTACTTAGACAATGTAATTTTCACACATTGTTTACGGCTTTTTTATTATGGGTTGAAATAAAAATTAATTTAAACAAAAAATTATAACAGACTTGAAAATTGAAAATGGAACTAAACAGTAAAAAAAAACACGAAAACCAGAGACTAAATTTGTGACGAACGTGCTTTGAGCTTTACCTTGTAGGCTTTAATTATATATGAAAAAAAAACATGTATAATCTTACATATTTTTTTAAACATGTAACTGTTTGATGTTTAAATCTAAAGAAAATATTACTAGAAAAAAATCCACGCAGCAGCAGACGGGACTCGAACCCGCACACTTCACTATCCGGGCAAATGCACTGCCCATTATGCTATGCTACATCTATTTTACAAAAAGACTAACTGAAACACAATTTTACATCGAATACATTTATTGCCATTAAACAAAATCACACAGTACATGTAAATGCAGTCTTCTTTATAAGTTTTGAGTAATACAATATTTTATAATAAGTACTTCTCTTATCTATAACCAAAACAATTATATTATATTATTACCTATGTACCGGCAAATTTTTAGTTCTTTAAATAATAAAATATTGAGTAAATCAAATATTATCTCCTGCTAAATATAAGCACTGACAAAAATTAGTTAGACATAGATTAGGTGCAAGAAATTCCAGAAGTTAAATTAGTTAGAATTTGTTTCTGAAGATCTGTGGTCTTTAAACAAATGCGGAAATAGAATTCGAAGTTATACATACATAAAAAAAATCTTAAAAAAATTAAGCTTGGAGTTAGAAGGACGAGGTATTGGTATATCACCGTTGTTATGGTAATACCAGAAAACGTACAGTTTTTATGTTGAAATATATTTTAATAATATTATTTATTATTTTTAAAGGATCATGGATCTTACGTGTCTTAATTCATCTCCGATGAATACACGCTACACAGGGCCGGATTTAGGATTGTCGAGGCCCCGGGCCACTTAGGATTTGTATGCTTGTTAACCCATCGAAATTTTGTTATCTTTTATCCTGTTGTGGAGGCCCCGGGCCACTTAGGATTTGCATGCTTGTTGACCCATCGAAATTTTGTTATTTCTTAAGCTGTTGCGGAGGCCCCTGGGCCACAGATACATTTCCCAGTGTCCTAGATAATTATCTAATTAAAAAGCACCATACACATGAGTTATACACATATCATAGTAAAAGGCATTTGTTATACAACTGGAGTTTATAAAAGCATTGGAATGATAAAACTAGTAATATTTCTACAGGAATGAAGCAAATAATACTTAAAAGTTTATCTATAATAGTAATACAAATTTGTAATTATAAAAAAAAACTGGATTTTAATATGGTGGAATATACACAAATAGATAGACAGATTATGCTAAGGATAGTATTGTTTAGGATAGAGAGGTTTTAAATCGAAAGTGGTCCGGGGTAGCTAAGTTTCAAAATAAGCCCCCGTATATAATAATATATAGGGCACAACATTTTTCTTAATTGAATATGTACGCATAGGGTTGTAAATATGGTAACGTTAACATTCAAATATTGCCTCATAAAAGTAAATAGCTTATAAAATGAGCACAGGGTGGGACCTTGTAACTTGTGCGTTGCTAAACGATTGCATGTGAAATTGTGGAACATTAATGTTATAAATTGCACAAGTATTATTAAATACTAATAAGAAAAGCTGCAAATCTCTTATATCATTTGAATAGTCATGAAAAAACAAATATAGTTTAGAGAATGTGTAAATTGAGAAGTGTTGTTATTACGATTATTTGTTTAAACTAATTTTGTGATGTAAAAAGTAGTGATGGATTGCAGACTGCCAGATCACAGCACAATAAATATTGTAATTTTTTTTTGTATGTAAATACAAATGTATTTACATACAAAAAAAAATTGGACGGTGAATACTGTTAGCATATTACGAGAATAAACAGTATCCATTAATTATATATAATTAACAATCAATATTATTTATCGATTTACATGCTACCTTTTGAGATTACATCTCGTCAAAGAGGCTTTATTTATAGGCACCCAAGTTACACAAATACACTTATTATCAAAAATAAAGTGTTTTATTGTATGTACATTCAGTTCTTGAATAAGAGCAAGGTATAGGTAGCGGCATACTTCTTGAGCAAACCACAGACAAATAAACTTGCGCAGTAGACGTGTATGTAAAATTGGTACTGCGCAGGCTCTCTTGTTTATGGTCGGTGTAAAGATGTTTGCCGGTTTGTATACAGTCTGAAAGATTGGTCTGCTAGTTTGAAATAATAAATAGTTAAATTATTAAGATAACTCTTTCATTGCTGAGTTTATGTAATTACCTTATAGCTTAAACATGACCATTGCTACTCTTAAATTCTTCGAGTCTACATACTTGCTAAAGACCCCCTTATTTTTTTCCTACAAACCTTATGATGCGATACCCTATCAGTCGACATTAAAAAGATATTAATCTTGATTAAGTTTCGAATTAGAATATTCACTTGTCTTCTTTCTAATTTCAACTGTATTTCAGAAACTTATGCAAAATTAAAAGTTATCACACTATAAGGCTAACTTACAATGAATTTTATTCTTATTGGTTGTTCTCCAATAAATTAAATTTGCGAAATCTCGATTCAAAAAGCTTCAATGCATAGAGAAAGAATCGAGGTTTAGCAAATTTGCTGCATGTGGGTCTAAGAGTTAAAGTTAGACAGTATGGGACTGGACTTCTTAATAGTACAGGCGCTTAGTTAAAATATTAAATAGATAATATGATAAGCATATTATTTATTGCTTACAAGTTAGAATTGCCTACATAATACATTGTGCAAATTTTATCTGTTGAACAATCATTAAGGATACAAAAACGTTTTTGTTAAAATTGCGCCACAGTAGGTACAAGCAGCCCTTGATTTTTCATAGTCATTCAAAAATACATTTGTTTCTCAACAACACCAAACAAAATTCGATTTTAAACATTCTTAATTTTTAACTTCGACGCGAAGTTATTTTATAGCGAGATTAGGTGTACAATGGTTTCCAAAAAAAACATGAATCTCAACGGTAATACTAAAACATCTTATTTGAAGACGGTAACTAAAATCACTGTTTATTTCTCCGAAATAAAAACATACCTACTCGTTTTGTTCATTGATCAAAAAGTTGGCCACCCTTTCGCAAACTTAACTCTATGAAGGCAACCGAATCATCATCATCGCTTGCGACTATTAGCTATGCGACAAAGTTCCTACTAAAAGCTTTTCCTTTATCTACAAGCGCTTTTTACCTATAGACAAATATTTATGAACATCCTAATAATAGTACATAAATATATATCAAATACATTCAATATTAATTTACTTAACAATTAGCGATTAGTTTGCCCAGTTTCGAAATTTTATAGCTGTCTAATGAATGTGTTCCCCCTTGTATCATCATCATAATTATTAAAAACTATCCATGTGGCTAATACTTTTCAGCTGCATTCGATTCCCAATTAACCAAGATAAACACAAAGGAATAAAGTTACAAATAGCGTTATGTTATTCCGTATTTTTACCGACCGACCCATTGGCTGTGTAGCGTATTAATCGAACTTATTAAAAATAGGATCTTACGCTTCAAGTGAGGCTATATTAACCGAGACGGATTTTACGCGCGATACCTTTAGTCTTGTTGATCAAAGCTTGCCTATTAAACCTTCGCTATTAATAGAATAGAAATAACAGTAGCCCAAGCACACACTTTGACAGATGAGTGTTCGTATTATCGCCAACGTAAACGTTTCTATAATTAAACATTGAAAATGTCTTTTAAAATTTCCTAAAATTGCATTAGTATTTTTGTGTTTAATTATTCTAAGACTTTTATCCTCGAAATTATGAAGTCTCTAATCCTCAAACAAACTTCATTACAAACACCCATAAAACACCAGCAAAATGTTTATAATTGAACCAGCTTATTAGGAATGATGTAAATTGAGATCATTATAATAGCGTCTTGGAAAACAATGGTTTAATGAAAAGTAGTTTTAAAACTATTTCTTCTCAAAACTCAACTTTGTAGTCTTAACAATATGACATATAATTAAATAATGTGACAAAATAATGTGATACATTTGAAAGTTACAGACTGTTTCAAACCAAATATTATCTTTGTGGTTCTTTCAATATAATATTTTTGTAGGTTATATTATAGGCACATAGTGTTGCGTATAATAGAATCGTCTTCATATATATAACATATAGTTTTTACATATAGAATCGAATTCCGCTGATGATTTAATGAAAAATAAAATTGATAATAATAATAAATAAATGTGAAGTTAAAAATATAAACTGTACTTCTCAGAAAATACCTAAAAAGTGAAATTGCATTCCTATTAAATTTGTTTGAAACTGACAGTACTATAGAATACATATTATATCTACCTCATATCATGCATAGTACCTAACTTAAACACAAGATCATCTTTCTAAAACTACAATAAATAATTCGAAATACATTTGTTACGGTTGACACTTAAATAAATATAGATTGATAATAATTATCTATATATATTTTTTATATTTTCAACAGCTTATTCAGAATTAAATAGACAGTGGTGTCGATTTTGGCGTATAAAGAATAACAAGGATACACTATTGTCAAATTTAAGTTTAGGTTAAGAGAATCATGTCAGAATCGACACCAGTGTCATCAGTGAGATAGAATGCCACACACTCTTCCAAGTTCAACTGTCCCATATGTGGGTAACTATTTAATTGTTTTAGCTTTGGTTTTCAATGTAAAAACAGGAAGTTATTGACTAGCCCCTACGATTTGGATTTGTCTTTGCCCAAAAATGTTTTTAAATACTGGATCTACGTTTCTTAATAATAAAATATTAAAGGGTATTTGCCTATACTGTTAATAAAGATGTTTTTAGTGCAATAAGTTTATATGAGGGATACTGAAAAATATTTGTTCGTTTATGATTTATTACTTATTAAGTTTGATCTCTGTAATAGTGCGTCTGGTAACTGCAAAGATGTCAATCTTTAAAATTATTAAAGCCTGTTAGTTAATATTAGAGCGATGATTATCCTATGTCCAAAGGGGCTGTTCAAGTATTACGTAAGCACTATAGGGGGGCAGGGGGGTCTCTGATTTGCTTATTTTTGATGACTTGGGGGGGGGGGGGGGGGGTAGAGATGGTGATTACGTCAGCGTCATCGATTAAGCCTTTCTAAGTACTGCTGGTCATGAAGCTCATGAAAGCTCATGAATCAATAAAAAAAACAGAATACATTAAAGGAAAAATGTATATAGGGGTGGTGGGGAGGGGTAAGAGCTTTGCTTACTTTTGCTGACAAGGCGGAGGAGGGGGTAAATAATTGTAATAAACTTGCTTACGTAATACTTGAACGGCCCCAAACCTTTCAGGGATGTATGTCTTTACGATCATCCACAGAAACATAAAAATTTATACTTATTCTATTGTCATTGCACAAAAAGCAAACATCTGAACAAACATTAAAGTTTATTTCTTCTACTTCTCTGTGTACTGGTAGAGAGGTTATTTTTTTTATTGGTTTTGGGAATGTTCAGTTAATCTCTTACATAGAAATAAAGAAATATCCCATGTAATATAATATTTAGGTAACAATTGACGTAAACTTGCCTCAGTACGTTAAGGGAGTGTTAGCGCGTCGTATGTGCCTTGATCCGCGCTATCCAACTTGTTTGTCCCAACCAACCGCCATGCTATAAAATAAATGTTCTCTTTGTAACATTTTTATTTTAAATATTTACCGGCTAGATTACTAAATAAAAAAATAAAAAATCTTCAAGGTCCATACCATTTGAATTTGCATCTTTTGATATACGACAAACATAAAAATAAAAAAACGAGTGTGCTTATGACAACACGACTGAAGTGAAACTTCTTTAGCTCCATTGTATGTATATATATTTTTTATATTTACTATTATTTTTAATAATAATTAAAAAAATTTCTTTGTTTTCCCAGTTGTAACAGGCGATTTTTAAAAAAATCTGTGAATGCTGTTCTAGTTATTATTAAAAATAAAACGATGTCTTCTTTCAGAAAAATATCCTATCTTCAATATTTAATATACTTTTCCTCCGTGTGAGGTAGCCGTGGGACGCCCTTTTTTTTTTTTTTTTATAACGCAGGTAAAAAATCTTTTTACAGACGACGGCGCCTTTAAGAGGCACACCGCCGAACGGACCTCACACCTGGCTCCCGCAAGTCTTACAGACCCCCGGTGGCTAACCACCGAGGACCCCGCAACTCTTACGGGCGCTTTACAGCATAATATCCGCTAAAAAAGTCCTGCGAATACCTTCTAACTGCTTAGTGCGGAGCCGCAGGGTCCCCGTTAGGGATTCTACCACGGCTCCGCCCCCAGCAGCTTCCCGGCCTTGCCGGGGCTCCACGGCAGGGGTCTCCCGCGGTATTACGGGGACCCCGCAGACGTGCGCAGGTAGGCCCGCGCGTGGGGGCTGGGTACGCGGCCTACTGCCCACCGTACCGCCCCCCATCCGCTACGGAGGGGACTCCTGGGCATACCCGTCCAAGAACCCTCCGCCGCCCCCCCTTTGTAGGACAGAACTACGAGTGGGGGGGGGGGCGCCGTTCCTGGGAGGGGGGAACGGGAGGGGAAGCGTATATCTTCCCGTCCCTCTCACCCCTCCCGGTCGCCCCCGTCTCCCCGCGTCTTCTCCTAGGAGAAGAGGGGGGAAAGGCGGGCGACAGCATTCGTGGGGGGGTTCGAGCGGCCGAGGCTACTCGGACGTCCCCCCCTCTGACGGCGCCCGTGCAGGCGCCGACTCAGAGGCCACTCTCTCGGGGGGTTTGCCCTTGGTGACCGGCGGGTCACACCTCCCCTTCCCCATTACGTGGTCGGCCGGCAAACCACTCTCCTTACATATGGCGCAGCAGGGTTCGGCAGCGCATTCCGCCGCCTTGTGTCCCTGCTGCCCACACCGGAAGCACGCCTGGCTTCGGTCGTGCTCAGATGGGCACTGTCGGCAGGTGTGCCCCCTGCCCATGCACCTGAAGCGACACCACTGTCTATTTAATACGGACTCTTTTAGGTGGCAGTGGAGCATTAGTAGACTGCAAATTTATCTGCGGCCAAACTAGGACCGGGTTACAGCTGAAAATCAGTGTCGTTTCTCAATATATTATTCTACACTGTGCTTCAGGTTGCCGCAGCATTTTCGTTGTTGGCTTTGTATTTCGTCTTATGCCGACACTTATCTTGGCTATTCGGGTTTGCTATTTGTAAACTTGACATCAGTCTGTCCTTTTCAATCCTTATAAAGCATGATAAGGCACAAATATGAAAAATCATGAGAAGTGCCAGCATGAAAATCCAATTGTTCAGTCATTTTCTGCTTGTTTTCTTGGTTCTTAAATAAAATATTATCATAATATTTTATTCAAGAACCAAGGTAACAAGAAGAAAGGGTTTCATTGTGTCGCCGACTCGAGAGGTCCCGGGTTCGAATCCCGGTGGGGGCAGATGTTTGTGTGATGAACACGAGCATTTGTACTTCAGTCATGGATGTTTAATATGTATTGTATTTCTATAAAAATTTAGTTATATTTATGTACAGTATATGTATTCTATATAAATATGTGTACCTCGGGCAGACATTGCAGTTAGGTAGAAACAACTTTGAGGACGAGGTGAATAGAAGAATTCAGCTAGGCTTGGCAGCGTTTGGGAAGTTACGACAAGTCCTGACATCGTCAATCCCACAATGCCTAAAGACGAAAGTCTTTAGTGCGTCCTACCTGTGATGACATACGGAGCCGAGACGTGGACACTGACGGTACGGCTGGTCCACAAGTTTAAAGTCGCTCAACGCGCTATGGAAAGGGCTATGCTCGGCGTTTCTCTGAAGGATTGCATCAGAAATGAGCTAATCCGACAGAGAACCAGAGTTATCGACATAGCCAACCGGATTAGCAAGTTGAAGTGGACTGGCCATATTTGCCGAAGAACCGATAACCGTTGGGGTAGACGAGTTCTGGAGTCGAGACCGCGTCTAGGCAAACGTAGTGTAGGATGTCTAGGCATGGTGGAGTGACGATTTGCGTAAGATGACTGACAAGAGCTGGATGCGAGTAGCCCAAGATCGATCTGAGTGGTGTGCAATTGGAGAGGCCTTTGTCCAGCAGTGGACTAGGATAGGTTGTTGATGATGATATGTATTCTATCCGTTACCCTAGTATCCCATAATACAAGCCTTACAGTGCTTACTTTGGGGCTAGGCTAATTGGTGTGAATGTTGGAAATTTTTATTTATTTATTATTATATATCTACCTGCTAGACGGGGCGGGAGGGGGGCGGCGACGGTTGCGGGCGTGCGAAAGAGAGGAACACCTCCTCCAGCGTGGTCTCTGTCACCGAGTAGTCCTCCACTAACGGGAATGCAGCCTTGAGCTCCTCCAGCTCACGGAACAGTTCGCTGTATTGCAACGTCTCGTTGATGTGGTAGTGGAGCATCGTCTGAATGAAACCAACGTAAACACAAATCTTTATAACTCGTGTCATTAAAGAAAGGAATCGCAAATGATGACGCAAGACATCTGTCCCTCTCGCACATGCTATCCTAAGCAACGTGCGAGAGAGACCTAAAGTATTCATTCGGCATTTTCGACTCCTTTCTTTAATGACACGAGCTATAGTAAACTTTTGTTTGCATAAAATAAAATAGGGAATATGCATGTAATTCATAAACGCTCAAAAAATAATCTACTCCTTTACTTTGAATTGTCAGCGGAAAAGCAGCCTAAAGTTTCACTTTGAAAAGGATTAATTTAATACCTTGTGTTCATCCTTCAAGGTGCAGTTGAATTTCTGCCTTAACGTGCCTTTCAATTTGTTCAGTTGCGAGTTTCCAGAATCAGTCTCTGGAAGAAAACGAAAAATAAATAAATGTTGGTTCATCGTGGATATCATAATATGAATTTAGTATAGTTTTGTATCCCGTGTAAGTCATTCAATAAAATCATTTGTCTGGTCAACCTATATATTTCATAATTTGATACTGATAGGAGTATTCCCAATCAATGTATTGTCATAATGTATATTTACTTACGAATTTGAAATAATATAGAATGTTGCACGCCTACCTGCGATCAAGTGGGCGGGGCGAAAATTCTGCGATCAACAACACGATCATTGGATTGGCTGGGATTTTCGGTTGACATTGTCATATCCAATAAATGGATAACCCAATTCATTTGCAGATATTTGAATTATCAAAAAGTTGTTTTCTCTGTGTTTGTTCCGTGTTAGTATTGTAGTTTATTTGAATGAGTTTGGAACCATGTTTTAGCGGCCTTTGTTGAAGATTAATGCTTCCATATAATTTCCAATTCGTTGCCATACGTCACCTTGACGATGACGGCGTGGGCACCACGTAGAGCGACGGGAAAGCCCAAAGCGCAGATCTCGCCCATTGATATTATGGCGATGCGGTTGTATGGCACCAATATCTAGATCTATACCATATAAATGGCTCACCGTCTCCTATCGTTGATTGTGACGTCACCTCGACGATGACGGTGGGCCCAGCGTGCAGATTTCGCCCATTGACATTATGGTGATGCGGTTGTATGGCGCCAATATCTAGACGTATACTGAATCCATGACTCACCGTCTCCTATCGTTGACTGTGACGTCACCTCGACGAGACGGTGAGCCCAACGTGCAGATCTCGCCCATTGTCATTATGGCGATGCGGTTGTATGGCGCCTATATCTAGATCTATACTGTATCAATGACTCACCGTCTCCTGTTGTTGATTGTGACGTCACCTTGATGATGACGGCGTGGCCGGCAGCGTGGGCGGCACGTAGGGCGGCGGGGGAGCCCAAAGCGCAAATCTCGCCCATTGACATTATGGCGATGCGGTTGCAGAGCGCTTCCATTTCGTCCATACTATAAAATAACGGGCACTATTTATACCAAAATGTAGGTGCGTACGTGAATTTATCAACGATCATCAGTCGTCGACCACCAATGGAGGTCGTAGAAGACTTATCAACTCGGAAATGTGAGGCGATTACGATTCGATTCCATTAGTGTGTGTTGTAGTTTTATAAAAAGAACACTGAACAGCTCGAGTTGATACGATGACGATCTCTTTTCGAGTTGATGTCTGCTGCGATCTTTAGGGAGTGGAACAGTATTTTTATTAATTTTCGATTAGAGAACTTTGATTTTCATTATTTTTTGCTACAGCACTTTAAGACAAGCAAAAGGTAAAAAATAGCCACGCTCTATTATTTTCATGAAAGTCACATGTGTAAACACCACATAATGTGCGGTGTGAGTACGAGTGAATTGGTGTCTTCACTCGTCTTCTCGCCGCCACGTCGACGCCGGCCATAGGTTCGTCCAGTAGAGTGAGAGCGCAGTATCCCCCCCCCCCCCCCTACCTGTGCAAAGGTGATGATGACGGCCCGTTGGTGTGTAATAGCTTGTCGTAAAGCTGCCCACACTCGTCTTCTTGCTGCAACCTCGACGCCGGCCATAGAGAGAGAGAGCACAGTATCAACCCCCTTCTCCCCCCTACCTGTGCGAGGTGATGATGACGGCCCGTTGGTGTGTAATAGCTTGTCGTAAAGCTGCCCACACTCGTCTTCTTGCTGCAACCTCGACGCCGGCCATAGAGTGAGAGCACAGTATCAACCCCCTTCTCCCCCCTACCTGTGCGAGGTGATGATGACGGCCCGTTGGTGAGTAATAGCTCGTAGTATAGTCGACGCCGGCCGTAGATTCGTCCAGTAGAGTGAGAGCGCAGTATCTCCCTCTCCTTCTCCCTACCTGTGCGAGGTGATGATGACGGCCCGTTGGTGAGTAATAGCTCGTCGTAAAGCTGCCCACACTCGTCTTCTCGCCGCCGGTCGTAGGTTCGTCCAATAGAGTGAGAGCGCAGTATCTCCCTCTCCTTCTCCCTACCTGTGCGAGGTGATGATGACGGCCCGTTGGTGAGTAATAGCTCGACGTAAAGCTGCCCACACTCGTCTTCTAGCCGCCACGTCGACGCCGGCCGTAGGTTCGTCCAGTAGAGTGAGAGGGGCGCCGCATGCGAGAGCGGAGGCTGCGGCTAAACGACGCATGCAACCGCCGCTGTAACCGCCTACGAAGCGGTTCGCGTATTTCTGTAGACCTGGTTCGGATAGATGGAATATTAAGGCCCGTATTACAGAAAGATCTCAGTAATGAATCTAGTCTTGAGCTTAGTTAGAAAGAGATGGCGCTATATATAGCACATAGCGGCATCCCTTTCTAACTGTACTCAAGTAAAGATCAACACTTAGTTGTCATTCTGTAATACGGGCCTTAGAGTGCGAGCCAATAGAGAGAGAAAAGTTAGGTGCATTCTGTCTGTTATCTCAGTGTTTCATAGTTCCAGTAGTTACATAGTACAAGTATTAGGTTAGCTCTGGTTATGTTTTTTGTCGGTTCTTTTCAATATAAAGTCTAAAGCCGGGTCTCCAGCAAAAGATTTTTGAAAACATTCCACAAAAAATACATACACAAATCTTTGTTTCTGAAACATTTTTCTCTACAAATGCCGTTAACGGCTTATGTTGCTGGCGTATACAAAATACACAGGGCTGCGTTCCAAACTATAAATCCAGGTGCAACAAATGTCAAATTTGACAAGAGTTTCATATATGTTATGTCAAAATTGAAACGTCAGAGACTCAAAGCGTAGGTTTGGAACGCAGCCCCCGCTAACGAGTTGTTAAAAAAAAGGGCCGATGAAACAATATCCGGCCCCTCGAACCACGCGGGAGTGATTTATGTACGTGTTTTCCATCGGGCTCGGAAAGCAAAAACTTTGTTGATGCAAACAAATATGTGTGTGTGTGTAGTAAAAGAAAGTTTTGTGTGTTTACACAAACCTTGTTTCACAAGGTTTTGTTGATTTTCTTGATTGTGTAGAGTAAAATACGCGCTGGAGAGGCTTAATAGGGAAACAAAAAGACATCAGTTTCAATTTAAACATTAGTTTTTATGAAATATATATATTTCATTCAAAGCAAACAAAAACACGATCCGCCTGATGAGTAAGCTGTCTGTTACCCTCAGTTTTAACCCGACTGGTCTAAAGATCAGACTTTACTAGGAATTTTGACGATAATACCCGAGACTGCGCAGATACTGATCTTATTTCCTAAACAATTCCTACTCACCGACGATTTCTATCCAAGAGGCTGTTTTTGTCTTCACAGCGTCGGTGTTTAACCTTCGCAGCGTTGGTGCGAGTTCCAGGTTCTCTAACCGGTTTAGAATTCGTCCAGCCCGAAGAATTGCGGCCAGTACCCGTAACTGTATGCGGATACTGACCTTATTTCCTATTCAGTCACTACTCACCGACGACTTCTATCCATGAGGCTACTTCTGTCTTCGCAGCGTTGGTGCGAGTTCCAGGTTCTCTGCACCAGTTTGGACTCGTCCAGCCCGAAGAATTGCAGCCAGTACCCGAGACTGTGCGGATACTAACCTTATTTCCTATTCAGTCACTACTCACCGACGACTTCTATCCAGGAGGCTGCTTCTAACTTCACAGCGTCGGCGCTGAGACCTCGCAGCGTTAGAGTGAGCTCGAGGTTCTCTGCTCCCGTCTGGAACTCGTCCAACCCGAAGAATTGTGGACAGTAGCCGAGACTGTGCAGATACTGTGTAAGAATAACGATGTCAATTTGATAACTATCGAAAGAAACAAAGAAAATACATTTATTTTGACACAGACACGAAAGAGGAAACACAAAAGTTTAAACGGGTAAAGAGAAAAGAATCACAATAATAAAAAAAATGAAGCAGTTGTATGCTTCAAATAAAAAAAATATATATTAAATTTATGTGTTCATTGTGCGTGATAAAGACTGATAATTAATATATAAATATTTCAATAGATTTCTTGTCAAGAATTACTGACAATTTAATATGTTGAATTAAAAAGATCACCTTGTTTCACAACATAATTGTCGTTGAAGTAAGATACGGATAATTGTTACATATTTTAATGACATATGTTGACTTGGTCAAATAGGGCACTAGTGGGGTGTAGACATATGTCGGAACTTTTCATAAAAAATATCACGTGTACCTCAGAGGCGTATCCTTTGAGATGGTGTCCGTTGGCGAACACTTGCCCACGCGTGGGACAGCGCTCGCCAGTCAGCATCTGGAACGTTGTGGACTTGCCAGCGCCGTTCACGCCCAGAAGACCGAAACATTCGCCTGAATAACAAGTAAGTATAAAGTATAATAAAATGCATAATGGTCAGTAAAGCAATTAATAAAACACTTTTCGAACAGGTACAAGCGCGATTCATTAACTTACCAGCAGCCGCCCGCGACTTCTTCCACGTTAGCTTTACATTTTGAGAATCCCACAGAAACCTAACATATGTACATATTTTCATAAAATATAGGCATACAAATCCGTTTAGTGGTTTTAGCGTGATTTAGTAACAAACACACAAACTTTCACATTTATAATATTAGTTAAGATGTAGAATTGTTATATTTTACAATGTGGTATTAAGGTTTTGACAATAAAATATGTTATGTGGACGACATACGTCTGATTTAGCTTGAAATTTATGCGGTTGTGAAGTTACCAGGGAACGCAACTTTGCGCACAGTCAGTTCAGTTCATTAACATCCCACGTGAGCCCATATTATCTTAAACAACGTTAACTGCTCAGCAATTTCACAGTCGCCAGTAAATATGAATCGTATTATAAGAACCTGGTGTTTTGAGTGAGTGAATTGCTCTATTAAATACAGCCAGGCGGACACTCAGCACACGCTTGCGTTTTCTTCAATCATTAATTCGACATCATCTTTACGTCTTACATTAATATAGGTATTTGACAAAAAAGACAAGTAAAAATAATATTATCGCAAAACAATCAAATGTTTCCAATATCAATAATGTACATATTTGTAACATACCTTTTTTAACAGAGAAACTGATTCCTTTAACTGCGGGAAACGATTTGTTTAAAAATCTGTAGTTTTTGTGCAGGTCCGATACCAGCATTGCGTCCGGAATTTGCTTGGTTGCTAAACACACAAAGGAAAACCAAATTATAACAGTCACATGTTGTTACAAAAAAAGACTTCCTATGATAACTTAAATACAATACGATATGCGTAGAATTTTAAAGTAAATAATATATAAATAAATATTTCCAACACTCACACCAATTAGCCTAGCCCCAAAGTAAGCACTGTAAGGCTTGTGTTATGGGATGCTAGGGTAACGGACAGAATACATATATAGTACATATATAAGTGTATTAATATAGAAATACATATTAAACATCCATGACTACAGTACAAATGCTCGTATTCATCACACAAACATCTGCCCCCACCGGGATTCGAACCCGGGACCTCTCGAGTCGGTGACACCATGAAACCCGGCGTACAAACCACTCGACCACGGAGGTCGTCAATAAAGGCGTCTGTATAATGTAGTGACAGTATGGTATAGATAGTGTGTTATACTAACGTAGTGCGATCGCCTTGGTGACGTAGGCTCTTTCAGCGCGACCCATTTCATCGAGGCGTCGCGGCGGCGGCGGTTGGTAACGAGCATTCATTACCGATTCGTACATCCACTTGAATACACCTTTCTCCATGAGGCATACCAGGATCTGACATCAATGTTATTTGTTTTACAGTAAGGTACAGGTATAGAACACATTTGGGGTAAAGCAAAACATAATAGGTCAAGTTCTTCACCAATTATCTATACAACATTAGACACTATTATAATACGAGCGAACAGCGGCAAAATAATCACGTCTGTTGTATGGATTCCACTATTTCATATTTATTTTATTCTGTTTATAGCATTTGTTGTTATAGCAGCAATAGAAATAAATTATATATAAATATTTCAACTTTTTAGCTATCACGGTTCTTGAGATACAGCCTGGTGACAGACAGACAGCCGGACAGTGGAGTTTTAAGTCGCGTTCTTTCATTGCTATAATGTAAATAGTAAAATTTTACTATAATGCCATGTCAAATACATAGTAAATGTGACATAAATAAATTCAAAGATACTAAAAATAAAGCACTTTTAAAAAAATCTTATATTACAGACAAATATACCTGGGTTTGAACTGTTCCAATCATTCCAACAGGCTTTCCTTAAGAAATAAATCAAGATTGTATCGAAGTTGTAAACAAAAAATAATTTGTAAATGTTGTAACATTATTATTTTATGTCCTGGAGTTTTTTCACTCGTTATTCTCCGCAGCCAAAAAAAATATGTTAAATAAGGGTTTTTGGACTATTCTTAAAAGATGTACCATGCATCCAATCCATCCGTGATTTTTTTTCATTTGATTTTGTAAAATTTTGACAAATTATTATTTTTTCTATAGGATTTAACTATCAATGAAACAATGCGGCCTTAGAAACAGGGTCTCGTTTTTACCCTTCAAAATTAAAATATTTGGCTCGTGGCATTCTTGAAATGGGCTGTGCTAGGATGCCCATTAAAGTTAAGAAAAAAAGGTCACTATTTTGATAATATTTGGCTTTCCCATAAAAGCAAAACTCATTTTTTAGGTCATATTGTTTAGTTTCACTGCTTGAGAAACAATAAAATTAAAAATCCCATTTACTTACTAAGTTGCATTATATTAATATGCTATTGGTGTCGATTCTGGCACGATTCTCACAACTTAAAACCAAATTTAACATTAGTTTCTCCTTTTCATTTTCTATAGAGAATGACAAGGATACACTGTTGTCAAATTTAAGTTTAGGTTTAGAGAATCATGTCAGAATCGACACCATTGTGTTAATATAAAAGACTTACCATGTAAACGATCAACTGCACAAACAGACATACTATCATGGGACCTGGGGCGTTCTTTTCATAGCAGAAGTAGCAGTTCATGTTGCCCGTAGACTCTAAAACAATACCAGTATATCATTCAGGGTAGCTACACATATAAGCGGGCCGGCATTAATCTGCACAGCTGGGCAGTAAAAACAAAAATGTGTATATGAATCTTAGGTAGTAATTACTACGTCGGCTCGGCTTTGTGTGTTGCTACCCTTACAGTTAAAGTTTAAATAAAACTATTTGAAACACGGCAAAAAATAATCTCACTTTGAAAGCAGCTGTACAAAACGTGTGTCGTCATTTTAGACTTGGCCTATCCTATGGTGAACCCTCAAAAGCTATGGTGCATTCGGCACAACGGGTCCTAAACTACGGAACATTTTTTTTACTTGGAATGGAAGGTTTATAATTATTATGAAGAAAGTTATTGTGCAGCCTTTGAACAAAAACTACAGCTATACACAGAAGCGAAGCGACTACTACCTACTAGTCGTTAATAAACTGCTTGATAATTATGAATTAGAGTTCATTTTCTCGCAGCAGGCGTCTGCGTCGAAGCCATGTCCAGCCACCAATAGATTAGAGCATTTGGCCTTATGCGTTGAATGTTGTGCTCACCACCTTTTTTTTATTACGAGAGGAAAATGTACTGACAATTTAACTACTTTATTATTAATGAATTAAAGTTCATTTTACCGCAGCAGGACTCAGCGTCGAAGCCATGTTCAGCCACCGATAGATTAGGATTTTGGTCTTTATTGAGGGCGCAGTGCGTTGTACGTCGTGCTAACTCCCGTATTTTTTATTACGAGACGAAAAAGTGCTGACACCAAAACTATTTATAGTTTATGAAATAAATCTCATTTTACCGCAGTAGGCGTCGGTGTCGAAGCGAAGTTCAGCCACCAGTAGATTAGGACATTTGTCTCTATTCAGGGCGCAGAGAGCGTCGTATCTCGTAGTAATGACTGTATCACTCGCTGCCAAAGTTAAAGTACGAGGAGGCATCTATACACTACTTTATACAATAAAAAATAAGAGTTATTTTACCGCAGCAGGCATCAGGGTCGAAGCCGTGTTCAGCCACCAGTAGAATAGGGCATTTGTCTCTATTGAGGGTGCATAGAGCGTTAAGTCTCGCGGTAACCACTGTCTCACTCGCTGCCATAGTTAAAGTATGCGGAGGCATCACGTAGCTGGATATTAGAAGAAGGTAATCCGTGAAAGACTTCGACTCGTTCATTTTGAATAGGTCTTTGGCGGATTTCACGCCGGGTAGTATCAGACCTGTGGAAGAGTATTGGTGTTCTTGTGGGTTCCTTACAATAAGAGTGACAATGGCCGTTTTCCTTAACTGTTAATTATGTTTATTTATTTTATGAAAATTAATGAATTTTCAATTATGTAATTTATGAACATGTTGTTAACAACATATAATTTGTTGACCTGAACCTAAATTATTATATTAAATTAAATTATTTATTTTATTTTAAATCAAATAAATGATAAGTTGTACTTTAGTGACATTTAACTATTAATGATTATGAGTCATGTTGCTCGAAATAAATGTTTTTTTATATTCTAATGGTATAGTGCTATTCAAACTTAATGTGAAAGCGCAATAAACGAAATAGGGTGATTTAGGCGCCTTCCTCGCTTGTATCTGTACATATTCTTTACAGAAAATTACTTTTTAACGGCTCTGTTTCGGTACGGTATTGTTACGTTTTGTTTGCGGGAGTGACGAGAGGGGCGAGTCGAATGATGGAAGCACTCTGTATCACTCGGTACAGAGCGCTGTGTACACGTTAGGTATAGATTCTATACCGAAACTACTCAGTGAGAAAGCTCTCATTTAATTGTATGCACTTGGTAAAGAAACTGTACAGAAACGAAAACGAAACGGGCAGGCACCGACCCGGGAAAGGTGCTAAGATGTGCACGGGATGTCACTGAACTGAGTCCTGCTCACAATTGCTAAATAGGGTATTTGACAGTATTAAAAATAAAGTACCAATTGTTAGCATCTGTATTAAGAATGAATATTGGCAGGAGTTTTTACTATTTTTACAGAAACAATATTCAAAATTTTACTAAAAACCCACGATAAAGATAATAGTTTTTTTGTCTATTGTCACGTGACCCAAAACGCTTGGGATTGGTGGAGCCTAAAATGACATAACACGCAAGTAAACTTCCGGTTAAAGTGACATTTGATTGTATGGTTTGACGTTATAAAGACAGTCGTGTGACGTCACACACCAGTGAGACTCCATATTGTCCAGAGGTACGTTTTTCGCGGCAACTTGAAAATAGAGTTTTTGATTTGGTTTTTTACCGAAATACACAACATAATGATGAATATCCACTTTTTATGGACTCTATAAACATTAGTAAATAACGTGAGATCGTTTTCTAAGACTTGTCAAATACCCTATTCCTCACCGCCATTAAGTTTGAATCACACGATATACTATTACAATAACTGCATTGTTTGGCCATGGAAAGTTTTATCAAATGAAAAGGTCCTTAAATGAAACGCCAAAACAGAGCAATATATATAATTTGCATTATGTACTCACCGAACAGCAACGCTATGATGACCAGTATGATACTGGTACCGCGTTCAGCGAAGAAGAAGCTCACCAGGTACATGAGGGCGAAGAACGCCATGCAGCCCAATAGCAGCACCGTTGCAAGTGTCACTGTTATAATAAAATATTTATTTCAAAACGCGTTTTGCAAACTTTTGGAGTAGTAAATGAATCTGGAATTCTAGCTCACAAAATTGCATCCTTAACGCTCGCCAAACTCGCTGGACGCAATTTGTGAGCTAGAATTCCCAATTCATTTACTACTTTTTGGAAGTGAAACTTCTTTCGGCACGCTTGACTTGGGGGGTAAACTGGCGAATGTGTGACAATTTTTGCGTTACGCGCGTAACGCACCGATAACTCATCGGTAAACAGTGAACAACACCCGTCACAAAATACATGAATCTAGTGCTTGGTGGGTGATAACGGACCCAGTGCGGATTGGAGGGTGATAACGGATGCAGCTCGGATTGGTGGGTGACAATGGACCCAGTACGGATTGGTTGGTGATAACGGACCCAACGCGGATAAGTGGGTGATAACGGACCCAGTGCGGATTGGTGGGTGACAGACAATGGACCAATGCGGATTGGTGGGTGATAACGGACCCAGCACGCATGGATAATAACGGACCCAGTGCAGATTAGTGGATTACAATGGACCCAGTGCGGATTAGTGGATTACAATGGACCCAGTGCGGATTAATAGGTGATAACGGACCCAGTGCGGATTAGTGGATGACAATGGACCCAGTGCGGATTGGTAGGTGATAACGGACCCAGTCCGGATTAGTGGATGACAATGGACACAGTGCGGATTGGTAGGTGATAACGGATCCACCGCGGTTTGGTGGGTGATAACGGACCCAGCGCGGATTGGTGGGTGATAACGGGCCCAGCGTGCATGGGTTATAACGGACCCAGTGCGGATTAGTGGATAACAATGAACCCAGTGCGGAATGGTGGGTGCTAATGGACCCAGCGCGGATTGGTGGGTGATAACGGACCCAGCGCGGATTGGTGGGTGATAACGGACCCAGCGCGGATTGGAGGGTGATAACGGACCCAGTGCGGATTAGTGGATGACAATGGACCCAGTGCGGATTAATAGGTGATAACGGACCCAGTGCGGATTACTGCATGACAATGGACCCAGTGCGGATAGGTAGGTGATAACGGACCCAGTCCGGATTAGTGGATGACAATGGACCCAGTGCGGATTGGTGGGTGATAACGGACCCAGCGCGGATTGGTGGGTGATAACGGGCCCAGCGTGCATGGGTTATAACGGACCCAGTGCGGATTAGTGGACAACAATGGACCCAGTGCGGATTGGTGGGTGTTAATGGACCCAGCGCGGATTGGTGGGTGATAACGGACCCAGCGCGGATTGGAGGGTGATAACGGACTCAGCGCGGATTGGTGTTTTTTCTTCTATCAACAAATCTTCAGGTTAAGTTTATGATTTTCAGATCATTGGAGATAAAAAAGTCTCTCTTCAGTCGTGTGGTCATAAGCACACTCGCTTTTTTTACATAACTCGATGTTTCGCATCCTTTTCGGGAAGCATTATCTAAGAGGTAAACATATATCTGAGAGTATCATATATACTCTCAGATAATGCATTCTGACAAGGATGCGAAACGTCGAGTTATGTAAAAAAGTATTAAAAATCGCAGTAATTTTGTATTAAGTTTTCACGAACACATTTAATAATGATTATTGATGTGATCAAGATGTGCTGATAAAAAATCTTTTTACATAGTCAGTTGTCATGGCCAGGGGGCCAATCGCCTAACTTTATTGCTTTGGAAAACGCTATCGCTTATGATTTCATTTTGTTATATCTGACCGCCGAAGGTTTTCAAATACCTCACGCTCATTTTATTTAATATTGTTATTGCCAATGCAAAAGAAAAAAAAAGAGCGCGAGGCATTTGAAAACCTCAGGCAGCTAGAAATAATAAAATGAAATCGTAAGCGATAGCGTTTTTCAAAGCAATCCGGTTAGGCAATTGGCCCCCAGGTAGTTTTACTGAAAATCGTGTGCGCCCCTCTAGACTAGATATGACTCACGTATGAAGGCCGGCGCGGTGAAGTTCGCATTTCATAGTAGTATACATAGTTGTAGTCACGTACGAAAGCGGGCGTAACTGTCGTGAAAATAACCCAACAAAGGTTAACTCCATCCTTACCGACCTCAAATCGCCCTAAAAATATCCCCTGAAGCTGTAACAAGCTGATGCTCTATGCATATGCCTCACATATGAAGGCCGGCGCGGTCCGCGGCGGCGGCGGTGAACGCAGCGGGCAGCACTAGGGTCGCTTAAAATCAGGTGGGATGGAGTCATTTGTCGGACCTATCTATAAAAAGAAATACCCCCCCCCCTCAAAGGTTACCCCCACCCTTACCGATCTCAAATCGCCCCAAAAACATCCCCTTGCCCTAATGAAGCTGAAACTAGCTGATAATCTGAAAAACTAACTACTATTTGGCTAACGTATGAAGGCGGGCATAGCTTTCCTGAAAATCGCGATATAAACCGTTTCCCCCCCTTAAAAGAGTTACAAATAGCCCTAAAATTATTTTACTTTTTGTTATGTGTTCCTATCTATGTCTATATGTTGTTTTACCCGTCATATTGAAATGGCATTCACAATGTTCTGATCTTTTTTAAACTTTTTATCATTTACAAAGACATGCGTCCCCCTTGCCTAATGAAGCTGAAACTAAACTCACGTATGAAGGCCGGCGCGGTGAAAGTTTGGTCTCGGTCCGCGGCGGCGGCGGTGACGGCAGCGGGCAGCACCAGGGTCAGCGCCGCCACCGCGGTGTGAGCGGTGAGGGTGGTGCCCCAGTGCACACCGCATGAAGCGCCGCTCATTATGTGGAGGTGTCTAGCGCCGGTGACGCGTTCCTTGCAGACCAGAGAGGCTGAGTTCACAGCCGTTGCGAGGATTACTGTGAATAAATTAATCATCATCATCATTATCAGCCTATTGACGACCTCCGTGGCCGAGTGGTTTGTACGCCTGGTTTCATGGTGTCGCCCGACTCGAGAGGTCCCGGGTTCGAATCCCGATGGCGGCAGATGATTGTGTGATGAGTACGAGCATTTGTACTCCAGTCATGGATGTTTCATATGCATTTCTAAATAAATGCACTCGTATATGATTTTATCATGCTAGAAATATTTATTTATTTAATTGTGACTCAATCCATTCCTTATCGGCCAGTTTCATAAATCAACCTTCAGTAAAAGGTAAAGATGATCCGGTTCCATTTCTTCGCAACAGTTATTATTATAGACATAAACAAAAAAATTGGCAACAAAGCTGAATAACATCTTTTGCTAAGGCAACCCCTTTTACTGGAGGTTGAATATTGAAACTGGCCGTTAGTTTTTAAACAGTAAATATCCAGATTAAAAATAAAAAAAATACTCACTGAAAACAACGGTGACCACCCAAAAGATAGCAGCTGCTATCGGCTTGGGTTCCACTATTTCAGGCCTGCGTTCCCCACGCTGCGTGTCTAGGGGGTGATTGTTGGTCACTATTGTATTCCCATTGGACCAAGGCAGCAAACTGTTAGCTACCAGGTTCGACAATAAGTTGAGGCCTACTGGGGCCGCGTGTCGTACTATCGTTGTGTATAACACCTGGAAGATTATGAAAAATAAATAAATATTTCTGATACTCAGCAGTAGCGGTACAGTGCGAACTCTGAAGCTTTATACCTATATATGCCTAGCCCTAAAATACGCACTGTAAAGCGTGTGTTATGGGATTCTAAGGTCACGGATAGAATATATATACTGAAACATAATTATATAAGTACTAGCTGTACTAACCCAAAGTACGAACTGTAAGGATCGTGTTAAGGGATACTAAGGTAACGGGTACAATATATTTATACTGATACATATATATATCAAGAAATACATATAACGTTCATACATAACTTAGATAAAATGCTCTCTATTTATCATTCAAACATTTGCCCCCACCGGGATTCGTATCCGGGACCTCCGAGTAGGCGACACCTTGAAACCAAACACGGCGTATGTACCACTCACACATCGGAGGGACCGTCATGAATTGAAGACTTCTCTGAGTACGGTGTTTAAAAATGATCTATGGGGTGGTTATTGGGCACTATTACTATTGACCCACAAACTGTTCGGTATCAGGTACGACAACAGTGAGAGGTAACAGTTGAGGCCAATTGTGTGGCGTACTGTAGTAGTTTTGTTTTAAACCTAGGATACTATAAAGGAAAAACAAATTTGAGTACGTTGTATGAGTGATCTATGGGGTGATTATTGGGCCCGGGCACTATGGTAGTCCCATTGGACCAAGGCAGCAAACTGTTAGCTACAAGGTTCGACAACAGGTTGAGGCCTTCTGGAGTCGCGTGACGTACTATCGTTGTGTATAACACCTGGGAGATTATGAAAAATATATAAATATTTCTCATACTCAGCAGCAGCGTTACAGTGCGAACTCTGAAGCTTTATACAGGCCAATGCCTAGCCCTAAAATACGCGCTGTAAAGCATGTGTTATGGGATACTAAGGTCACGAATAGAATATATATACTGAAACATAATTATATTATGTACTAGCTGTCCCCAGCGAACTTCGTACCGCCTTAAACAAATAGGGATTGGTGGTAGAAGGGTGAAAATTTAGGGTTGTACGTATTTTTGTATGATGTATTATTAAAAATAAAAACAAGTAATTTTGTCAAAAAGAAAAATTAGGTGTGGACCACCCTTAACATTTAGGGGGATGAAAAATAAATGTTGTTCGATTCTCAGACCTACTGAATATGCATATAAAATTTCACGAGAATCGGTCGAGCCGTTTCGGAGTAGTTCAATTACGCACACCGTGACACGAGAATTTTTATATATTAGATATTTATCTAGAAATACAATGATCCATGACATAGACACAAATGCTTGTATTCATTACAATAATGGTATAATAATAAACAATTTATCTCTATTTATCTATCTATCTTAACGCTCCGGTTTCCGGGTGGAGTAGGCAGAAAGAACAGATGCCACAAGGCAGGGTATTTACACAATTATCTATGGTAATTTCTGATTAAAGTATTTTAAATAAACAAAAGAACTTCGAAGTGGAGTCCGTGCTTGTTCCCGACTGCACCTGCAGTCGTTATCAATGGGGACATAAATAGGCACATAGAAGTTAAAACACGAGTAAAGCGAAATGGGAAATAAATTAAAGACGAGTATATTTACCTTTGCATCAGTATTATTCAGCTCGATTCCAATCAAATATTTGTTGTAATCAATGGTGTCTCGTCTAGCGAAACGTACGACCGCTAAGGACAAAGAGAAGATAACGTGTTTGTATTTTTATCATAAATATTAAATACTATTAGTAATTTCTCACTAAATTTGGACTTAAGTTAAGCCCTGTGTAATTATTATACTTCAACATTTGTTAGCTAAAAAGAAGACCGACAGAATTAGGTCAGCAATAGTGTTAAGTAAGCCTTTATGTCTGTAGTCCTTCGAGGCGGATTCAAATTGTAACAAAACATTAACTGAAGTCAAACCTAAGGTCTACTCTTTTTCTTCGAAACGAACTATCGATAACGAAGTTCAAACGAAATTAAATTTCGTCAATTTAATGTTGTACTTAATTTGAATGATAAACTACCAAATCGAAGCCTTCTTTGAGTAGGCTTAGAAAATCTACACCTCAATCTATATTCCGACGACGAATATTCTTATAATTAAAAACGAACCAGAAACATAGTAAGAAAAGTGCGAAGTTTCGATCGAAATTTCGTTTTTCGTAGAATTAGAGTAGGCCTCCTGCTCACGAAATACGCTTTTGTTTTGGTAAGAAGAAGATAGTGTTAACATTAATTAGAAAATAAGTCCAACTTTAGTACACGTTTAGCGTAGTTTAAGATATGGTTTTTGCTTCGAACAACAAAGTCTTTGCGTTCTGTGTTGCAGAATTTAAGTGACTATAGCTAGAGTACGAATTTTCAATGAGAGAAAACTAAAAGCAAACAAGAGCACATCTGATCTAAAAAATGACAAATTCATATTACTATATATCGCCTAAAAGAGTGTCAAATGATCGCAGCCTCCGTGCTCTATAATTTCTGCCATTAATTGATCTTTTAGAAATTTAGACCAATTTTAAACTTCGGACAATATATACGTGGTCTAGTACTGTGACGTACCAAACCACCACAAAAATATCTAGAATTCGAACCCGCGACCTATATAGGTCTCACACCAAAAACAACTGTATGATCGAGAGTTACATACTCCCGTCGAAACAATTCGATGCCGCGATTCAACAGACTACAGCGCCATCTAGTTTTTAAGTTAGTTAACTTTCCCCCAGACAATTGATTGGTGTGTATGAAAATGTACGAGATTGTTTTACCTTCAGCTGCATTCGTGGTGTTCTCGAAGATTACTCCAGGATATCTGTCGCTGATTGTACGCAAGGTCACTTCTGGGAAATTTACATTGTATAGAACGCGCTTATCTCCCATACTATCGTAAATGTCCAGGTTTAGCGGTGTCAAGTTATTCCTCATTTCCACTTCAGCATTGTTGAAGTTTAAAGTGAACAGCACGATCATTAGTATGGGTAAGATGACTTGCTGAAATGTTAGAAATGGTTGACAAGTTTATGACAGTTATATGGAGATTTTTTTCTCATTTCTAAATAAATGAATAAAGCTTTTGTATGAATACACAAGAGTTTGACAAAAACATTTATTTACGTACATATTGCAATAAAGTTTGTCGGCAATAGAATAGGTGAAAGAAAATTAGTTTATTCGAAAAATCTGAATTGAAGCATGGCATGATGGTGAAACAACTAACGGCCAGTTTTTTATATAAGTTGCTTTGAAAAAAGATGAATTAGTATTCGTTTATGAAATGAAACTTAAGCAAAAAGATAGTTACTGTTATCTTCATATCGTGTCAAAAATGGTATCTGATTTTATTTGATAAGGACGATTTATAAATAAATTATACATATAAGTAGGTCTTACCAGTATCAGAAACCACATTTTCTTGTAAAGTATATAGTTGATTTGCCTCTTGAAGAGCACGAGGAACTGGCGAAGATACAGCAGAACTCCAGTTAGCCGGTTACGTGTTGAAACTGAAATGATGGTGTGATAACTTTATCAGGAGCATTATAATATCGGTTATACTTTATTTTGCGGCACTAGTTTTTTTAACGACACATAAGATTAAAAGTATTTTTTTATAAAAAAAAAATCCAAAAGTTGTAGGGAATTTAATGATGAATAACTTTTATATGATACATAACCTTAAAAGTATTTATTTAATAAAAAATGTCTAAATTTTGTAGGGAATTTAATGACGAGTAATTTTTATATGACGTATTTTTATCAATAAATGGCATTTTTAAGGTTTCATAAAGGGAAAACTACAAACATGTTCAAATAAACAACAATAGTTGAAAAACGGTAAGAGTTGCAATAAAAAGTTTTAGACAAAAAGGTTAGCGAATTTAGTAATAAACAAAAAAGCACTCAATTTTTTTCCGTAAAGTCAATAATTTCGAAGATATAGCGATAAACGCGTTTTCCCATATTGCGGCTAGATGTGACCATCCTAAATTCCCCGGTTATTAAACTTAGCTTCTTATGACCTACCCTAACATCTGTAAAAAAATCAGACTGATGCAAAATTTTGTTATTTGATTTTACTCTATTGCTTGTGCTATATTTGATATGGTCTCAAAACCTTTCAATTGATACCTGTATTGTAATAATTAGAAGACTTTTACTTTGACTACAATAATTAATATTTTGTTATTGCTGTTATTTAAATTTTAAGAGTTTAGATAACTTATTTTACCCGGGATGGTGAAAGGATACAAACGATACCACCATCATATACCATAACCACACACATCTAAATTGGTTCAGGTGTTTAGAATTGTACATACATAGGTACATGAACCCTGAATACATTACACAATTTTTTTATTGGGCAAGTTGTATTGGTGTAAACGCCACTTGCACCAATATTCCTAAATCACATTAGGGATTGATCTTGTTGTCAAACGAAAGGAGGTGAAAAGAGGTGTCATTCTCTTTCCATATTTATTTATTTCATTTAGCATTAAATCTAGTTAAAGAACCTTGGCACAAGTAGGTGTTTCTCATTCTGAAAATTTAGCGCACCATTTTGGGTATAACGTTTTTTACCTATTGATTGACAAAAAGGATGTTTTGAATAAATACCAAACTGAAACATAAATGTTTTTATTACTTACTCGAGTCACCTCCTACGCCATCGACGTCATCATTTGTCAACGTTGTGTCGACGTCACTGCATAATCTACCAGGAAAAAACAGTTACAGAATGAACAAAAAAGCCACAACTCCACGATACCTTTTAGTAAGTTTGGGGAAAATAACTAGCTAGCAAGGTTGGTAGCAGTGGTTCTTAAACTTAGTGATGAATGAGGAACCATTTGTTTGATCAAAAAATTCTGTGTTGCCAGGAACCAACCACGATTTACTAGAGAACAGTTCATAGCGCTTGACCCATTGTTATAAGATATGGAGCGGATAGTTTGAAAAACGATGACGACCAAAGTACTGACCTCAAGAAAAACTCTTCAAACGTCGAGATGCCGATATCATTTTAATACATTTCTAGTTTGATACATTTGCTTACGGATGACTGGCACTTGACCATTAGCTGTGAGATATAGAGCTAAAAGTTATAAAAATAAACATGACAAAAAAATACTGACCTCAAGAAAACCTCTTCAAGCGTGGAAATGCCAACACCGATCGAGTCTATGCTGAGCTCAGGCCGTTTGTATTCCAAGCTGGAGAACAGTTCTGGGAACTTGTCGCTGCTCGTGGCTGGCAGGTTGTAGGATATGGAGTTGAAGGATTGCTCTTTGACGGTGGCGTCGGGTACTTGTGACGTCACCACGCGAGTTATGGCCTCTTCGTTCGGTACGCCGATTGTAGTGAATGTTAGACGGTAGCCGGTACCTGGACGATAAAATTGACGTTCTTTTATTTTATTTTATTTTAATTTATTATATTACTAGAAACATCATTATGTTATTACTTATATTTGCATGAAAATTGAATATGTAAGTACCTAATTTAGGGCTACTGTTTCAAATGAAATTATTTCGATTTGGATTAAATTTCGTAAAATTAACACGTAGTAATAATAAACAAATATTGAACCCAAATTATAAATACAATACACAGATAATAAGGGTCAACTCGTTTAAACTTTTTTCAAAGAAGGAAGGGTACAATTAAAGATATATATCTCTCTATGGAGTTCAACTTTCTGTCATAATCTTTTGGTTAGGCCGCGGCAGCACAAAATTAGTTTTCACGAAATCGCCGTCGAGTCGCTGTCGCCTTAGACCGCGACTTTAAAGTATTTTGTGAATGCAGATGGTGAAGATGGAATTAATTAATTAAAAACATAGAGAATGGAGTAAGTAACACTCACATGAAATTAATAACTCTCTATAAATCGCAGCAGCGGCAATCCATTTTAGCCGTTGCAACATTATGCTGAGGTGGGGCCTAGTTGACGATGGACCTTTTGTTTTATGTGTATTTATTGTAATTGTTAATGTATGTTTTTCTTTCTTTCTTTCTATAAAGAGGCAAAAACTACCAACAGACTACTATGGGCTGCCCTGTCGATTCGTTTCTCTTACGTTCCTCAACTGTCCAGATTTACTTGACAATTTGTTGGGGCACGAGCAGTCCATTCTGTCTAAAAAGAGTGAAGGGTTTTACGGCCTGTCCACGCGTATAGGGAGCACGAACGGCGAAGCGTAGAACATAAAAGTTTTTTGTTTCAAGACGAAATATTTGGAAAAGATTGTGGAGTACATGATTTGAATAGGAATCGGGTTGTACTCGTATATGGAGAATAGGCTAGTTGGCACTCTTCCGAAATCGATATATTTAGGTTCTTTAAACCAAAAGCTATAACAAATAAACATTTATTTATTGGAATTTGACATGTGTCAACTAGCCAATTATCTCGTAGCTCGTAAATATGTTGTGTCGCGTGGCTTGATTCGTACATTGCTATACAATTATTTAAGCCCTTAGATTAAAACAAAAAGGGGAGATACGGCACTCGCGGCTCACAAGTGTACTGCTTAAATTTTGATGCATGAACACAATTCGCCTTTAGTCAAAATTTGACATCCAAACACGCTGAATGTGCACTCAATATAACAATATTGCGTATATTCTGGGTTACAAAGATAAAATAATGCTAGATCAAATAACAAATTCCCTGGCCACACTTTTCATTCGTAAAACTATAAATTTTTTTTTTCGAGAAATCACCTTTTGTCATGAATGTTATTTACTAATTAGCCATTTGTTATCAAGAAAAGGATAACAATACAGCTCAGCTGTTTGTAGAGAGAGAAAAGAAAACACAGTCGGTTGCCAAGCGACGTGGACTTGCAGTTTCGCTCGCGCTGCGTTGAAGCGTACAGTTCTGTCTCGCTCGCTCGTTTGAAAGTTTATTTACAGAAGTGTGCGTGTGTGAGAGTGGCTTATGTAGTTGAATCGGAGCATACTTTATTTGATGATAGTATGAGCGTACCATATCTACCCTTTTTGTTTTAATCTAAGCCTTTAGACGCGTCGCCATTCGGAGCGCGCCAATATTAGGTTTGGCTAATATCCCGTGGCTAGGCTGTTAGTGAAATCAATTCAAACCGATGGCTTTCTTGAGATAGAGCGGCGTGGCTAAGCAGCGCAGCTTCCCCGCAGCCCATGAAGTGAGTCGACAGTAGCAATGTGCGTGAACTATGAGGTTTATGCCCCTGCAGTGGGGACATTGACAGGCTGATGATGATGAGATAAAAAGTGCCGAACCGATGGCTTTCTTCAGGTACAGCGGGATGGCGCAACAGCGCAGCTTCGCCGCAGCCCATGAAGTGAGTCGACAGGAGCACAGTGCGGGAACCAAGGGTCTATGCCCCTGCAGTGGGGACATTGATAGGCTGATGATGATGAGATAGAAAGTGCCGAACCGATGGCTTTCTTCAGGTACAGCGGGGTGGCGCAACAGCGCAGCTTCCCCGCAGCCCATGAAGTGAGTCGACAGGAGCACAGTGCGGGAACCAAGGGTCTATGCCCCTGCAGTGGGGACATTGATAGGCTGATGATGATGAGATAGAAAGTGCCGAACCGATGGCTTTCTTCAGGTACAGCGGGGTGGCGCAACAGCGCAGCTTCCCCGCAGCCCATGAAGTGAGTCGACAGGAGCACAGTGCGGGAACCAAGGGTCTATGCCCCTGCAGTGGGGACATTGATAAACTGATGATGATGAGATAGAAAGTGCCGAACCGATGGCTTTCTTCAGGTACAGCGGGGTGCCGAAACAGCGCAGCTTCGCCGCAGCCCATGAAGTGGATCGACAGGAGCACAGTGCGGGAACCAAGGGTCTATGCCCCTGCAGTGGGGACATTGATAGGCTGATGATGATGAGATAGAAAGTGCCGAACCGATGGCTTTCTTCAGGTACAGCGGGGTGGCGAAGCAGCGCAGCTTCCCCGCGTGCAGCGCCGCTACTCGATCGCCCAGCGCATCAGCTTCCTCCATGAAGTGAGTCGACAAAAGCACCGTGCGGGAACCACGGAGCGCCTGTACGGAATGATTAATTATTACATCATGCTGTGAGTCTACCGGAGAACCGTGCGGAAACCACGGATCGCCTATACGGAATTATTATTTATTACATCATGAAGTGAATCGACAGGAGAACCGTGCGGAAATCACGTAGCGCCTGCACGGAATTATTATTAATAAAATTCACATTTTTCAGAAGACAAATACGAAACAACCCTACCTACTATGGTAGGGCTGTTTCGTAAAAATAGTAATTTTTGACCGCAAAAGTCAGATTTTTTTAATCTGGACAAATTCGTTATGTGGCGCTGTTCGAATGAGAAGTATATAGTATGTGCGTATTGAGATCGAAATTAACTATTCGAATTCGATAATGTTTCGTTCTAAGGGTATCGTTGCTTCGAATAGCTTGCGAGTGCGAAATGTCATTATCAAATTTAGTATGGAAACTTGAACAGCAGCGCGTAAAAACGGACGTAGCGAGAACTAAAAATCAGTACATATTTGACGTATGTGTAGACCGAATTCAACTATTCGAATTCGATAATGGTTCATGCTAAGGGTACAGTACACAAAAATAGTAAAATGCAATAAGATTAACTCATTTCCGATCAATTAAAAGTAATCCCTTTTAACTTATGATAGAGTATAGTTTAGCAGCAGCCCATTAGAGCACAAGCTAGCTGCAATCTTCACTTCATGCCAAGTAAACTCTTTTCAGAGTTCCCTCCTTGTCTTTATGTCAAGCCCAGAAGTAAGTTCGTTCAGTATGAATGAAACCGACGAAATACCGAAAAGGGTAAACCCTATCTATATACCAATAGAGTGCAGTTTACTCACCAGTAGTAAGTCCCAGTGTTCCCGCCTTGTCTTTGCGTCGAGCCCAGAGGCGAGTTCGTTCAGTATGACTGAAACTGACGAAATCACGCACGACCAAAAGTAAACCCTATCTACATACATATAGAATGTAGTTTTCTTACCAGTAGTAAGTTTCAGAGTTCCCGCCTTGTCTTTACTTTCGAGTCCAGTAGTGAGTTCGTCCAGTACCTATGAATGAAACCGACGAAATTCCGCACGACCAAAAGTCAACCCTATCTACATACCAATAGAGGTGCAGTTTTCTCACCAGTAGTAAGTCCCAGAGTGCTCGCCCTGTCTCGACGTCGAGTCCAGAAGTGAGTTCTTCCAGTATGATTGAAACCGACGAAATTCCGAACGACCAAAACTCAACCCTATCTACATACAATACAGTGTGCGTTACTCACCAGCAGAAGATCCCAGAGTTCTCGCCTTGTCTCGACGTCAAGCCCAGAAGTGGGTTCATCCAGTATAAGCACATCAGCGCCGCCCGCTAAAGCACAAGCTAGCTGTAATCTTCTCTTCATACCGCCTGATAGTTCAGAGCTCATACTGTTCATCTTGTCCAGAATTCCGAGTTTGTCGAGCAAGCTTTCTGAAGAAGTGCGAGTTTCAGCGAAGGAACCGCCTTTCAGCTGAAGCAATACATAGAGGTTGGTTGTTTATATTCTTAAGGTGGCAGACATGTATAGGGGCCACTTGATGAAGAGGAGTCACCAACTAATAAGCCACATTAGGTACTAGCAGCCGCCCGTAACTTCGTCCACGTTAATTAAGTTTTTGAGAATCCCGCAGGAACCTGTCATTTTTTAGGGATAAAACGTATCCTATGTTTCAACCCAGGTCATAATTTATATGCGGACCAATTTTCATCTAAATCCGTTCAGTAGTTTTTGCGTCATTGTGTAACAAACATACAAACTTTCACAATTTTATAATATTAGTAGGATAGACACTTATGTATATAGAATCTATTTCTACACCATACAACACCGACTCAACCTGAGATTTGTTCAATAAAATAAAAGCGCTAAGTCTTGGCTATTTTTTCGAGCATGGCGGGAGGAGCTCGATGGCGCAGGTGGTTAGCGCGTTCAGTTGAGATCGTTGTAGTTAAGCGACTTTCGCAGTGGTCGGTCATTGGATGGGTGACCGAAAATTTCTATCTCGAGTTCCTCCGTGCTTCGGAAGGCACGTTAAGCCGTTGGTCCCGGTTGCATCTGCAGTCGTTAGCACCCGCCAATCCGCACTGGGCCCACGTGGTGGGTAATGGCCCGATCTCCCTATTCCATCCACAGGGAAGGCCTGTGCCCCAGCAGTGGGGATATTAAGAGGCTGATGATGATGATGGTGGGAGCCATTCTTTCTGGTACTTTCTATTTTAAAGTTATAGTTTAAAGTCTGCTTCATTTAACATGATATAAAAGTTTTTACACTTCGGAATAACTACTACTACAAAGGAAGCATGTTCTTAATTAGAATTTCATATAAAAAATACGAGAATATAGATTTAAGATAGCCACTCACCAGCGTGAAGAACATGACATGCTCGAGTACTGTAAGATCGGGGAAGAACAGGTTGTGTTGGGGGCACAGTCCTAGTCGTTGTCGAGCCGCGTCCTGTTGAGGCCGCATTTCCGAACCACATACGTAAACCTTGCCTTCTGTCGCGCTTAACATACCTGGTTCGGGAGAAAACCTATTAACTAAGCACAACAAGTGTCTAGACATAAATATACAATGCACTTGTTAACTAAAAGTACATAGGAATTAAAGAGAAAAGTCAATGTGGAAGACTGGATTTGATAAATATTAAATGGGGTGACCACGGCTACTATGGCGTCCGCAGCATATTTGGTTTGCGTCTGCCGGGTTAGCGAAAGTACTTACTCGATGCCTTGGATAGGTTGCAGCGACGCGCTGCCCGCATTATTGGCGATGAAGAGGTAACTAACAAACTCAAATCTCTACAATTACGCCGCAATGTGGCATCATAAAGCGCATTCTACCGACTATACTACGGTGAGTGCTCTTACGAGTTATTCTCCCTTATCCCTCCATCACCTTTTCTTCAGAGGACCACGCGCGCTGGCCTACGTTGCCACCGACTTACTGTGGCCACTGTTCCTACACGACCAAAGAAATTTGGTGACTCATTTCTTTGTTGTACTATTCGTAAGTGAAATTCTTTGCCCGCGCACTTGTTCCCTCCTTCCCACAATCTGGGGTCCTTTATGAGAGGCGTGAAGAAGCATTTTTGCAGGCCGGCAAGATAAGGATGGTTGGTGTGGCAGTTTATAGCTGCTATACCAGCTATCTCTGCGTTTGGACTTTATCACCACTTAACATCAATGACTCTATCATTTAGATCAGAGTAGAGTTCAGCCTAGCTGGCTATATATATATATAAGAAGAAGGTGCATGTGAGAATCCTTTCTGATGTCTGGACCGCGTGTCATTATCTAGTAAAAATTTCTTAAGATTTATAAATCTAGCTGTTAAGTGCTTAAAATAATAATGTAATAAACTAAAAAAATAGCGTTATTAAATTAATGAGTGACTCACCAGTAATAATGCTCATGAGCGTGGTTTTCCCCGCTCCATTGTGTCCCAGTAATACAGTAATCTCGCCTTTAAAGACGTCCAGTGATACGTTGTGCAATGCACGCTGCTTAGGGAACACCTAAGAAAAATTTACAGATAATGCAACACTTTCGTATAACTATATCAATATACAGGGTTTAAAAAAAAATGGAACGGCCAAAGAATTAGAAATAATATGGAATAAGATCACACATCTGGGGTGAAGCTATAGACAAGCGGGGAGAGTCTCTGGCTATTAGCCTTGACATCGCCAAGGCTTTTGACAGGGTCTGGCACAAGAGCCTTCTCTCCAAGCTTCCTGCATACGGTCTGCCTGCTCAGCTCTGCGCCTGGGTAGCTGACTTCCTGCATGAGCGTAGAATTCGCGTCCTTACGGACGGATGTAGTTCGCAGTTCATGTCAGTGAATGCCGGTGTTCCTCAGGGTTCCGTTCTATCCCCCACACTCTTTCTGCTGCGTATCAATGATTTGATTCCACTTGCGAATATTCATTGCTATGCAGACGATAGCACAGTGCATGCGAGATACTTTGGACACGCGGCGGCTGGACAGGTAGAAACCATGGAGAAACGGGAGAATCTTGTCGTTGAGCTCAATCGCGCTTTAGACCACATTTCCGAATGGGGTACTAGGAACTTGGTTGAGTTCAATGCCAAGAAAACTCAGGCTTGCGCTTTCACGGCAAAAACATCGCCATTCCTTCCCCTTCCCTCTCTTCAGGGCACAACACTGGCGCTACAGAGCAATATTACCATGCTCGGTATGGAAGTTCGCTCAGACCTGAATCCAAAGGAAACTGAACTCGGAGTCCTGAACAAGGTGCGGCGTTTTTTCACGCCCGATCAACTGTGCTTGTTGTACAAAACACAAGTGCGGTCCTGCGTGGAATATTGCTCGCACCTCTGGGATGGCTCTGCAAAGTACTTACTCGATGCCTTGGATAGGTTGCAGCGGCGCGCTGCCCGCATCATTGGCGATGAAGAGGCAACTAAGAAACTCGAGTCTCTACAATTACGCCGTGATGTGGCATCATTAAGCGCATTCTACCGAATATACCACGGCGAGTGTTCTGAGGAGCTATTCTTGCTTATCCCTCCATCACCTTTTCTTCAGAGGACCACGCGCGCTGGCCTACGTTGCCATCGACTTACTGTGGCCACTATTCCTACACGAACAAAGAAATTTGGCGACTCATTTCTTTGTCGTACTATTCGTAAGTGGAATTCTTTACCCGCGCACGTGTTCCCTCCTTCCTATAATCTGGGGTCCTTTAAGAGAGGCGTGAAGAAGCATTTTTGCGGGCCGGCAAGGTGAGGATGGTTGGTGTAGCAGTTAATAACTGCTGTACCAGCTATCTTCGCGTTTGGACTTTATCACCACTTAACATCAGGTGGGGTAGAGTCATTTGCCTACCTAGTAATATAAAAAAAAAAAAAAAAAAAAGAACTGCACTGAAAAGTGATTTCACACAAACTGCGATCAAGTAAACATGGTTCCAAAATAGTACAACTAAACTTCAATAGTAACGCGACCCGCACGATACAAAATTTGCTTTGACCATTCAATATCTGCAAATTAACTTGGCTATCCATTTATTGGTTAAGATAATCTTAAACGGAAATCCCGACCAATCCCATGATCGATGTGTTGATCTTGGTTTTTTCGCCCCGTCCACTTGATTGCAGTTTACGTGGGATCACTTTTTAGCGCAGTTCGTATTTCATATTATTTCTAATTAGTTGACCCCATCACCATTATTAAAAAGCCTATATGCGACAATAGGCTATAAGTATTTTAGCATACTCATTGTGACATTAATGATCTTGGTGCCGACGTCGAAGGACCGCTGGTCCTGTTCCGCGTACTCTTCCAACTCCTCGATCGCTTCGTCGGGAGTCACGTCGTAATTGCGCCAGTACTGCTTCTACGAAACGCATATAAGGAGTACCTTGATGACGTTCACAATCTTGATGCCGTCGCCTGGCCGGGCGGCGTGAGCTTAAAGTACCGCTGGTCCTGTTCCGCGCTCTCTTCTAACTCCTCGATCTCTTCGTCATGAGTCACGTCGTTCTTGCGTCAGAACGGCTTCTACGGAACGATATAAGACGTACCTTGGTGACATTCATGATCTTGATGCCGAAGTCCTGGCTGGGCGGCGTGGGCTCGAAGTACCGTTATACCTGTTCCACACTTTCTTCCAACTCCTCGATCTCTTCGTCGGGAGTCACGTAATTTTTGTGCCAGTACTGCTTCTATAGAACCAGCTAAGAAATACCTTGGTGACATTCATGATCTTGATGCCGACGTCCTGGCCGGGCGGCGTGGGTTCGAAGTACCGCTGGTCCTGTTCCGCGCACTCTTCCAACTCCTCGATCTCTTCGTCGGGAGTCACGTCGTTCTTGCGCCAGTACTGCTTCTACGGAACGACATAAGAAGTAGAATACTATATCTATTGGTATTTCTGACAGCACTCTATGCAGAGCCAGCCTGGGAGAGGAAGAGAAGAGCACCCACGTTCTGCTGCAGTGTAGAAGCAAGACAAGACAAAAGACTTCTCTACTGGGAATTCCACGGACACTAGTAAAAGCCTGCAGCAACATCCGGGGACTGCTGTTCTTTTTGAAGGAGCTGAGATCGCAGAACTGATGCCATTCCTCACGCAAAGTAAGCACATGGTGTCAATTTGCGGAAACAGCTTGCCATACTAAAGACTAGGAAGTCTATGGCCGTATACAGGAAGAAAGCTGGAAGCCGACCAGCGCTTCTCAGCACTGGTCCTTACTGGTAACAGTTACATAAAGGAAGGAGATTTAAGCGTAGTTGTTCATTAATTTCAAAGGGCGGTGCCAGAGCTGACCAGCGCGTGTCGAAGATTGTCGGAACTTGTCGGCGCTGGTCCATAAAAATGCCTGGTTCCTATAAGCTACCAGCTTTCTTTCTGTATACGGCCTATGACCTGGACACAGTTCGAGAAACAGTATCCCAAGCACAAACTTTGATACATGTATATTCGTATCGCCGTGTTATAGTTTCCATGGATACTAAGCAGCCTGGCTGGTGAGAGTACTTAAGAAGGGGCAAAGTTGCCCCTTATGTTATTCCGCCGCGCTCGAGGGGCATCCAAGAATCTCCGCTTGGGCTCCAATACTATAAGCTGTATGCGAGCCCACTATAAACACATTGTGTGAAAAGTGTGTGAAAATTTAAGACTGTAGCTTTGTCTGTAAAACCTGTATGGCAGACGACGGAAAGACGGACACGCGAGTGAAAGCAATAGATTCGTTAAAACCTTTCGGGTATGTAACCTTAAAATAGTGAAATCTAGTTTTGGAAGTGTTATATAATAGGGGGAAAACGCAAAGTGCATTACTGAGGGCGCTTTGGCCGTAACACCATAACAAGCAACCACTCACAATCAAGGTTGCGTTCTAAACCAACGCTCTAGAGTGCAACTTTTTACTCTGACGTGTCAGTTTTGATATTAAATGTATGAAGCTTATGTAAAATTTGACATTTGTTTGTTGCCTGGAGCGTAGGTTTGAAACGCAGCCTAAAACTATCAGATTTTTTCAGTTTTCCTTGTGACTTTGACAGCTGTCTCGATATCTTGTTATGGGCCATTTGACACACAAATTGGTAGATTTTTTCCCATTTTTGGTATCCCGTTTTCTCACTAACCTGACAGAGGAAATACCACGGCATCGCCTGCCCGTACTGGCCCGGGTACACGTGGTCCAAGTACCAGGCAAGCAGGAAGAAGAAAAGCACCTGCCAGACCATCACTAGTAAGGCCGCGAAAGCTGACCCCGACTGAGTGGAGTGGGATGTGAACATCGTAGCGAAGGTCAGGCCTTGACCTAAAAGCAAGAGCAATTCGAAGTGAACACGATACTATGTGTGTTTTTGTCCGTTACTATAGTATCCCATAACGCAAGCCTCACTGTGCTTACTTTGGGGTTAGGCTATAGTCCGGCCGCTCAGAGATTGCGTTTCTGACAGGTCGTTTCAGTTCCTTATGGTGATAGCATTAGAGTTAATTTTCGAACCTCTTTTTTTATTACATCTAAAGTGTACTTTATTCTGTCGCCATAAGGAACTGACACGACCTGTCAGAAACGCAATCTCTGAGCGGCCGGACTATAATTGATGTGAGTGCTAGAAATATTTGTTGTTATTATTAGCCGGTTCCAGATTGGGTGGAGTGAAAAGTAAACCCTGAGCCTTTACCTAAAAGAAGATAGACGTATTGAAAGTAAACGCCCAGTACTGTCATTTAAATTAGATGATTATCGTGGTGTGTGTGGTCCGGATTACGTGTAGAAAGATATAAACATCTGTATCCAGCATATAGGGACAGCCTGAGCCTATATGTTAGAGGGTTAATCAAAAGCACTAATATAAAAAATAATCACTATATTTCTCCAGCTGGCCGGCCTGGATATAGATACAAATAGGCACTTGGGACAGAAGGCCTGAGAGAGCGACTTAAAGGAACTATAAAAATGTAAGGCGGTTATTCAAAACAATATTCACCATACTCCTTTAGCTATCGCACCTCCGACCGCAGCTTATAGACACATGGGTAAGGAAGTAAACAAAAACACTAGGAACCTTCATAGAAGAGTAATCATACAAACAAGACTCACCATACTTTTCCAGCTGGCCAACCTCCGTCCATATCCAGGTCATAGGCACGTGGGGTAGAAGGCCTGACAGCACGACTAGAGGCGAATCTATCTCGCGCTGGGTGATCTGCGCGGCCGGAATCCACAGGAACACGTATGTCAGCACACAGAGCGTCACCGCATATTGAGCTGACACCAGGAAACTTTAGTTACCAACGGTTTAGTAAATAAATAAAGTTTAAGAGAGGTAGAGTATAGCGGCTTTTCCGCTCGAATTGGCGCGCCCGTCTGGGGAATTAAGCTCCTCCTTTCAGAAGACTACAGTAAAATAACATTGCATTTTGGTGATGTTGTGTTTCTGATGGTAGGTAAGGTTCCAGGGCTCCAAGCGGAAGGGGATTGGGTCCGGGCAAGCAAAGGCGCGAGTGATATTTTCTTAAACGCAAGCGGCTATTATAGGCGGTGGTGGCTGCTTTCCATCAGGTGGGCCATATGCTTGTTTGCCAACCTTTTTTATTCAATGAGTCGTGTACATGAAAACATGAGAAATAAATAAAATCTTACTGCTCTTCGTGAGGTAGCTCGACGCGAAGGCCATTCCAATGACGGTGAAGTAGTACACCAAGAGCAGCAGGAATATGAGGAACCCGTTGGTGTTGGCCAGCAAGGGATTGGTGGACGCAGTGAGCAGGATACCGGTGAGAGCCGCGAACACCAACCCTGGTCCTAGGGCGTTACCCACGTGTGCCATCCATAGCGGTCCTCGCTGAACACCCATCATTTTCATCAATTCCTATACGAATTAAATCAATATTTGTAATCATCATCGATACTAGCCTTTTAATGCAGGCCTTCCCTGCTATTAATGAAATAGGGATATTTCACCATGACCCACCACGCGGGTCCAATGCGGATTGGTGGATGCTAGTGACTGCTAATGCAGCTGGGACCAACGGCTTAACGTGCTTTTCCAAGCACGGAGGAGCTCAAGATAATAAGTTTGAACAATAATCCAATGACCGGCCATTACATAAGTTATGTTTTTATTTTATTAAGCATTTAACTGCTAGATGTTTAAATCGAAAGAAAACTTTTACTAGAAAAAATCCACGCGGACCAGGCGGCGGATGGGACTCGAACCTGCACCCTTCGCAATCCGGGCGAATGCACTGACCAATTATGCTACCACGGCCCTGATGGCTGCGTCGAAATTTTCCTAGCCTTAAGCTGCAAGACAGCGCCATCTCTTCGCATTGTAGGTAACCCAAAATGTCAAATGAATACTTTTGTATTAAACATTTGAAAGAAGAAATAGCAATTGTAGTTATGGTTCGAGTCCTCTGCCTGGTCCGCGTGGATTTTTTTTTTCTAGAAAAACTTTTCTTTATATTTAAACATTACATAAGTTGCTTAATTTCAAGTTCGCAGCCACTTGCACCATCGAGCTCCTCAAATATTTCTAATAATCAAACCCAAATAGTTTAGTCTCGAAGTGAGAACTGTTAGGCTTGTGTTATGGGATACTAGGGTAACGGATAGAATACTAAAACTAAAATATATAAGTAAAAATTAAATTAGTAGAAATGTGTGGAACGCGTGTTTCTCGTCACGAGGAACAGGAAAGGCAGTAGCAGCAACATCCAGCAGACGGTCTTCATCCAGTCAGCCATCATTAAATCAGTAGAATATAATACAGAGAGCTGTTAGTGTATGATATCTGACCTGTATCCCTGTGGCCCGTTCTTCCAGCAGCCTCGTCATGAGGAATAGGAATGGCAGTAGCAGTGACATCCAGCAGACGGTCTTCATCCATTCAGCTATCATGGCGGACATGGAATTGCCTTTGTGCTTCATGTACGGGAACTCTTGCACGTACAAGTTCTAAAAAAATCCGTATTCCGCTTTACGACCTTTTTTAAGTTAGAACGTTATTGAGGTTGTTTTCACCAGCCTATTAATGTCCCACTGCTGGGGCACAAGCCTTCCTTATGGATGAAATAGGGAGATTGGACCGTGACCCACCACGTGTGGATTGATGGGTATTAACGATTGCTAATGCAGCCGGGACCAAGACAAGAAGCACAGAGGTTGTTTTATTTATAAATAATCATTATGTGAGTGTTTTATGTATATGAGTGCGAGTGTATAACGTATGGGAGATCATTTTGGGTATACGACGATGATTTTGGGCACTCTTAGTCCACCAGCATTTTTGAGGGCTACTAACATACAGTACGTTGATTAATAAACCACATTTTTAAATGATCATTAAAAATATCAATTTATCCTCAAATTTACAATAGGGGTGATGACGGGGTATACTAAACGAAATTCTATTTAGTCCGTCAGTTAGATGATCAAAAAATAATGGATGGACGTATTTTTTCTTTGGGCAATCAACCAAAAAATGACAAAGTTATAGCGCGTCAAAGTTTAGGAGTAGGGGCTCGTGACGTCACTCATACGTGACGTCATGCGACTTTTCAAATCAATATATCTCTGCAATATTTATATTATGTGTTTTTGATATTACCTGATAAACGAAGAAAAAAAAATAGTCATCATCCCTATTGGCAACATAGGTTAGTAATTATATATTTTAGGTGATCATTTATTATTTAATTTTTAAGATCATTTAAATTTTGTTGTACATTAACATTTAGGAAACGAACCAATTTACGCTGTTGAGGCTGTGTTATCGTTACTCCAGTCAGAGACAGTTCCCTTAGCACAAATACATCTTGATACGCGTCAAATATCACGAAGATTTGTACGGAAGATTTTTAATTCTCGTTACGTCCGTTGTGGCGCTGTTCAAATTGTCATACAAAACTTCTATTCGATATTGATATTGGTTGGTGCTAAGGGTACTGTTGTCTTTTTTAAGTGATTATGTTATAAAAAAGCGTTCCTCTAACTCGTTTCCGTCAACAAAATTTAATACCACGTATTTGACCCAGGATGTAAGGCACCAAAAACTAATATTATAAGTTACTCACCAGGTTAACTTCTGTGCCAGTCAGTAGTTGTAGATAACTTGTATCGATTGCCCATTGCAACGTCATGAACTTCTCATAGATGATTCCTGTAAAAAATGGAAAACATCATCTGGCTCACACGATTGAGTATGGTAATAATTCAAAAACGTTTTTCTGACAAAGATTTAAATCGTTTTCTAGGGCAAGGGCCTCGATTACAACGCAAATTTCCATCGTTCCTCCTAACATTTTAAATATATGGAATATGGTAGGAATGTTGCATGCATCAGGGGTCCAATGAAACCAGTAAAATTAAGAAAGTGATCTAAAGGGGGGAAAAAATGGGTCCCCTCTATGGTATTGTTTGAATGAATAAACACTTTACTGTACACCGTTTAAATTACAATTTATTAAGATAATTCTTAAAGTACAAAAGGCGGCCTGTAAGAAATTGCTTCCGGAAGAGATTACATAGAAATGGATTGTGATATGAAACGTCGTTTGTATGTGACACTTTTTCTTTAACCTTCATCTTCCTTATCCTACCGGCACCCCATACCCCCCCCCCATCGTCCGACTCGAGTAGCTCTTAATTAAAAACGTTTACAAAGAAGTACTACCTCTAAGATATGCACGAAAAGCGCTTCAATTCATAAGAAAATCATGTCATCTAAATACATGTAGTTATTTTCTGACGTTCACGCGAACGAAGTCGCGGGCACAGCTAGTGCATAATAAACATAAAGATGATAAAGATTGTCTACCATAGCCGGAGTGTGGGGTGAGTTCCGTATCGAGAGAGGTGGGTGTTGCCGTCATGAAGGGGTTCTTCATCCGGATGGTGTAGTTCAGGGTCTCTGGCCACGTCTCCTCGGAAACATTCTGGAACAAAGTAACAGATAGGAAAGGGAAATGAACCTTCGCTGTTGCTAATTCGTTTCCAAATGGAAAATTCAATGAGTGATAGATCCTGCGGTGAGTAAGGTTTCCAGTCCCCGTAGCATGAGCACCACAATATACAGTATATTACTTGTTTATCGCGTAATTCTATAGTAATTTGAGAATTGAGCGTGATGTAAACGAGTTATATGTCGTATGGCGGTATATGCGGGAGCAGAGGTCTATGGTATAGCGATGGTGTCAGGGTAGGCACGCGCAAGCGATACTCCAGTCCCCGTAGCATTAGCATCGCAATATACATATATCACGTTTTTTATCGCGTCTAACTGTCAAACTCTATAGTACTTTGACAACTGAGGGCGATAAAAATGTGGTATAATATATAATTACACAGCACACAGCACAGCATTATGCTAAGGGTTGGTGTCGCAAGCGTAAAAAACAAGCATTCAAACAAATTCAAAGAACATTTATGCAGAACTAGGGTTGCCACCCGTACTTTATTATAAAATATTGTACGTTATTTCGGGAATTGTACTCTATAATTTATGCCCACAATAAAGTACGCGAAAATACTTTATTTAATGTGGTTTGATTACTGGGGGATTAATTTTGAATAAAATATAGAAAATGAGATTGATAGGAAGCATTTTTGCCTAAACCGCACAGACAATATGTATAAATAATATGTCGCTCTTTCTTGCAACATTGTCGTGGTTGTATGTATGGCTTTGTACCATGAGCTTTCCCGTTGCGGAAAAGAACTACAGATTTTTAGTGCTAGAAACAATGTACAAAAGATATTTAAGCTTACTAATAAAATGGAATAAAAAGTACTTTATTTTGGACACAATGTACTTTTTTCTACTTTTAATATCCAATGTACTTTATTTGAACAAAAAAGGTGGCAAACCTATGCAGAACTGTAAGATGAGACTTAATTTAAAATTTATAAGTTTAACTAATTATAATAAAAATGGCTCTATCTCGGCGCCGGCGAAATATGATTGATATCATTTAAACAACATCATTAAAATAACGTATCGTATTAAAAATATAATAAACAATGGGTAATAAAATGTACGGAATTGTGTTAATGGTTGATTTGATAAGGATATTGGGAATTTTGCATTGTGCTGCTGTTGATAAATAAATAAATATGTATGTTGAAAACAGAATTACAGTTGGTCTTGGTATTTGTTTAGCTTAAAAATGAATGCGATGTAGGTATGTGTCATTTGTTTGGTGTCGAGTCGAGTGGTCTTATCTGTGGAATGTATTCCGCGAAACCACTGTACATATCGTCATCAGCTTAACACAACATCAAGTTCGTATGTAATTTAACGAAGAATGATCATGCCGTGCCACTAGGGCCGACAGCTGTAGATTGATGTGACGGCTATCGATAAAATAACTTCCACCGAGGGCTTAAATTAAAACAAAAAGGGAAGATACGGTACGCTCATACTAGCATCAAATAAAATATAATCCGACTCAACAACATATGCAACTCCCACACATGCACACTTCTGTTAATTCAATCAAAAAACATTCAATCGAGCGAGCGAGACAGAATTGTACGCTTCAACGCAGCGCAAGCGAAATGCGTCGCTTTGCAGCCGACTGCGTTTTCTTTTCTCTTTCTTCAGACGGCTGAGCTGTATTGTAACTAATATTTATGGCAAACCGTGATTTTTGAGAAAAAAATATTTTTATAATTTTACAAAAAAAGTGTTGCCGTGGCATTTGTTATTTGATCTTGAACCATTTGTGTTCTTTATAAAACCATCGAAGCAATTGTTTTATCTTTATAACACAGAATATATGCAACATTGTTATATTGAGTGCACATGCATTGTGTTTGGATGTCCAATTGTGACTAAAGCGAATTGTGGTCATGCACCACAATTTAAGCGGATCACTTTTGAGCGACGAGTTCCGCATTTTCCCTTTTTGTTGTAATCTAAGACCGAGAGGGTAATGGAATAATAAAACGACCGATCTATAAAATGCAACATATTCAAAGTTTATTTATAATTTTATCATTTCATTTATTAACTACAGTTAATATAATAAAAACAAAACCGATTGCTAGGCTTCATTTATAGAAACAGCATGTCGATGTTGGTGTAGCTTATACCAATAACATCATAATTACATGTGTAGAAAAATATCCAGACGGCTATTCACCTAGTGACCCATAATACCTAGTCAGGTCATAAATTCTGTCACATGTTTAATATAAAATAATTGAAACAAGTTTATTCATTATGTAACCATTTATATACCAAAATGAACTTAACAAAACATAGATTCTTATGACAATAAAGTTTATTCAAAATGACCTCCGTGATTTTGAATACAGGCCTTCAATCTGCGCGGCCAGTCGTCTATCGCAGCACGAACGACGTCCATGTCAATATCGGTGGCTGCCTTAATCAAGGATGTCTTGAGTGACTCCAAATTGGGATGAGGCTTTGAGCACGCCTTTTCCTCCAAGTGTTGCCATATCTTGTAATCTAACGGACTCAAATCTGGACGAGGAGGGCCAGTCTTCGTGCTGAAGTCGATTTCACGCGCCGCCAGCCAGTCTTGTGTGTTCTTCTGGCGCCGAATCTTGTTGGAATACCCAGTGCCTGTTATTGAACATGGTATGAGAAACAGGTTCCACAAGGTTCGTCAGGACTGTATTTTGATGCACAGTTGCATTCGTATTTACACCTTTCTCACAAAAATGTACCTCTGTTAAACCCCAATAAGAAACTCCCAACCATACCATGAGCGAGGATGGAAAATGACCTCGTTGGACACGCGGAATACGGTTGCTCGCTTCTTCACTACTGTGTGCGTATACCTTATCATTTTGTTTGTTGTAGCTCTCTTCTACGGTAAAAATTTTTCATCCGAAAAAAGATATTTCCTGATATTTTTTTCCCGCGTACCGCTTCAACAAAGCGCGGCATCTCTTAAGTCTCAGGTCTATTAGACGAGCATTCAAACAATGTCCTGTTTTTCTTCGATATGTCCGTAGCCTTAAGTCTTCATTTAACATCCTTTTCACCGTGGTTCTGCTTTACCCCACCTGAAGGGCCAACAGTTTCTGCTTTCGTTTGGGATTTCTTTGAATTCGCGCCTTCACAGCTTTGCTGTACTGCTGGAGTCCTAACAGACCTAGGGCGACCACTTCTTGACCTGTCATCTACACTAGAGTCTTCATTGTATCGTTTCATGGTACGATAAACGAATCTTTTGGTTATATTCAAATTATTCAGTTTGTCAAAAATTTGAATTCGCGCGTAACCGCAACGATGCAATAACTCGACAACAGGACTGTTGCCGCACCGCGCGTTTTGTATGAAAAAAAAGGATCGTCCGTACGCTGTACGACAAACGCACCGCTTCGGCACCGCAGCAGGCCGTCAAGAAACGCATAAATTGAAAGAGCCCTAACTGCAACACTGTCTTCTTTAAGCGTCCACTCCATATTTAAAAATGAGTGAAATTCTGAAAAGTATACATTTTCATTTTCATGAACAATTCGAAATTCGAATTCAATAAACTTTTTTGTGGCAGCATTCTAAAAGAAAAGTTTTTACTGTGTGACAATACTTATGACCTGACTGTAAATAAAGTGGGCAACCCTGCGTGTAACATACATGGTGTCTATTTTCTTTAATTATCATTAGTGACTGATACTATATATGTATTATACTTTTAATGACAAACTGAACGTTGTTGAACTCTTATACGAAATAGTGTTTACTTATATACAGGAACACAGCCCACGTTCAAGTTATCCAAAACTGTAAAATATGTTCATTCGATTATGAGCTTTACGTGCTTGATGTAAGAATGACAATAGATTGAGAAAAATTGACATTGTGGAAACTTTTGTGTTGCTGGCTGTTCATTATATTCAATACTAAGTAGTAGCCCGCCCTCGCTTCGGTGTAGACTATAGTTTTTGTTCAAAGATTTGTATTATACACAATGACTTTCTTCAAAATATTTTTTTTCAATTTAACCTTCCATTCGAAGTAAAAAAAAAATTGCGTAGTTTAAGACCCGTTGTAACGAATGCACCATTTTTATACGAAACACTAACTTTTTTGAAAATACACTATAGCCTACGTTCATAACAATATAAAGGATAATAAAGGATTCTAAATGTGAAAGAATTTTTCGAATTGGACCAGTAGTTTCGGAGCCTATTAAATACAAACAAACAAATAATCAAATCTCCTCTATATATTATAAGTATAGACGAAAATAATATACCTCAGACTAGCACACTCAGAGACGATCAATAAATTATCGTCAAATAGACGTGTTGTCTTATTCTATTGCTATTATAAAGGGAGAGACAGCATCAAATTTAATCAAACTTAAAAATCAATTGACGACTTCAATTTCAAGTGCACCCCCGCATAAGACACCTATTGATAAACATGGTGTAAGTTGATATTATTTATTCTGTGTTTTGTCTCTGTCCATCGCATAACAAAATGTGATTTGAGTGATGTGAACAAACACTGTGAAATTCCGAGCGTGTGCATTGTTTATGGATTGGAAGGAAGTGATGATTGACACATTGAATTTTTCGAATAGATAATTTGGAATATTTGCATAACGGATTTCCAGCTCGAATTAAAGCGGCTACCGGGAGTAGTATTAAAGGAAACAATTTCTTATTTTAAAATTTTTAAACCTTCGTCAGCGTTAACTTTAGTTTTTTGAAAATCCCTCAGGAACCTTAAATTTTTCTGGATAAAAAGTATCCTATGTCGCCACCCAGGTAATAAACCATGTGTCAAACTTAATCCAAATTCAGCCGTTTTTACGTTATTGAATTGAATAACACGTATATACAATTTTTACATTTATAAATATGTAGTAGGATATTTTGTTATAAGACGAATAACGAAATTATTGTCTCTTGTGGTTAATTGATTAACTTTTTTCTTAATCTTTTTAAATATATT